TATCTATAACAAATTCAACTAAAACATACAAATGAATGTAGTATGAAAGTAAAATACCTTTTCAGTATTTAAATCCATCGAATGGTTGCCCCAAAGTCCACACAAATACAAGGAAAAATAAACGCAAATATCAATGTATTGAAGAAATTGTGTTGTTTATCATTTGTTGACCAGAAAATAGTCGTATGTCACTCGTATGTACTCGTATGTTACTCGTATGTACTTGTATGTTACTCGTATGTACTCGTATGTTACTCGTATATACTCGTATGTACTCGTATGTTACTCGTATGTACTCGTATGTACTCGTGTGGTGTTTTAGTCACGATCGTAAATATGACTTCACGCAAGAGCATCAAAGATTCTTGCACCCAGCCTTACACTTGCATGTTACGCACTTAATAAGTGTATCTGGAGCAGAAGGTCCAGTCATCCAAAGAATCTCTAACTGACCATTTTTCATGTGCCATTCACGCCTCACAGGAGGTTGAATATTAATGTGCGATTGCAAACAATTTGTGGCTACCGTATGAATTGCCGCTTTGGACGGAATGGGGAGCAGGAAGTGACGTTTGAAAGGGTGTTGTTATTTAATAAGAGTGAAAGACAAATTGTTGTTGTTGAATCTTGTACGTGGGACCAAACGGTCCTTAACGTAATTTGAGAACAGTAATTCGAAAACAGTAAATTGAAAACAAAGATAATAATTTGAAAATAATAAATTTGTAATTTGGTTTATTCTTAAGTTGTATGACGACTTGATAGTAACAGTTAAGGACCTAAACACCACGATTGTTAATTGGTAAACAATATATTCGCGCGTCAGGGACGGTGTATTTCATCTATATTCGCTTGTCAGGGACAGTGAATCTCATCTATATTCGTGTATTTCATCTATATTCGCTTGTCAGGGACGGTGAATCTCATCTATATTCGTGTATTTCATCTATATTCGCTTTTCAGGGACGGTGAATCTCATTTATATTCGTGTATCTCAACTATATTCTCGCGTCAGGGACGGTGAATCTCATCTATATTCGTGTATCTCAACTATATTCTCGCGTCAGGGACGGTGTTTTTCATTTATGTTCGCTCGTTACAGACGACGTATTTAATTGCTCGAAGGAAACGGCTATCTGAATATACTTGCTTATTCGGGACGGGATATCGCAACAAAACCTTTGGGATTATTACATGGAATGATTGACAGTTGCTAGGGCAGCTTGCGAAGTCATTTCTATTTTGGGAGTTCGATTATGTCAGTAAAATCTTGGCCGATAGTGTTGCAAGATGAGCGGATTGTCGAACAGAAAACAAGATCTGAGAGTGGCTTCAGACACGTAGGTTTCACAGTGTTCGACAATGAACTAAATACTCCAATATCGGAATCAAATATAGGAAAGACCGGAAACGAAACAATCAACGTTTTGTTTAAGACTCGTATCGGGTTAATAAACTATTTAATAACCAATCAGGGATGGTTACAAGAAGGCATTCACGCTGGTGCAACATTGGACGAAATCAAGAGAAAACAATATGATGATAATTGGAAGGCGTTCGTTGACATTCACGAACAATACCTTGAATTAGTCGTCCAGGATGAAGAAAGAGAAATAGCAAATCGTAGCTACAAAGAGCAGATGGCAGAAAAGGTGCATGTGGACGAAATGGTCAGATCTTGGCAAAGGAATGCCAAATTAGAAGCAAAACAACGAGAAGAGGTTAGCTCGCCTTCATTACTAACAAGTAGAAGCTCAGCAAGTAAGTCAAGGAGCAATAGTTCCAAGTCTTCAACAGTGTCCAGAAGGAAAAAAAAGTTAGCCCTTGCACAGCTGAAGAGAGATCAATTAGCGAAACAACATGAACTTGAAAGGAAAATGGCAGAATTAAGATTTGAAAAGGAGGCTATGGAAGCCAAAATGGAAGAAGAGCGAGCGTTGGTGAGCCTTAACGCTTGCCGCGAAAAAGCAGAGATCGAACTCGAAGAAGACCACGGTAAGACCACAGCGGTAACGGTATCAAAACTAACAAAAAACCTGTCACCGTTTGCAAAGGCGTATGTTCCGCAAAGTTCGCTAGTACAAACAAAAGGCATGCCCTCCCAGCCAAGGAATGTGGGGGACTTGTAGATCAATCCGAACCACAAATAAAACAGTCGGAGGTACCAACGCAGAAAACTCAAACTAATCCAGATCAGACTGTAAGATCGTCGGAAGACGAATCACAATCAGCTCCTATGACGAACTTAATTAAACAAAAAGCCGAACAGATCCAATTAAAGGAAGGAGGAGGAGGAGACGAGATAGTAAAAGCCTTGAGACAAGTAGTTTCCATGCCAAAAATCAAATATATGCACTTTGAGGGTGATGCAATAAATTATGCCTCCTTCATGCATAATTTTGAGACTTGCTTAGAAAAGGACAATCCAGATAATTCTACTAGACTTCAACTCCTAATACAACATTGCACTGGTAAAGCACGTGATGCTATTGAGAGTTGTGTTAACTTACCTGCCCAGGAAGGTTATAATATCGCGAAGAACACACTGTATGAAAATTTTGGCAAACCGCACATAATTGCAAAGGCTCACGTTCTAAAATTGATGAATTTGCCGCTATTGAAGCAAGCAGATGGACCAAGTTTGTTGGAGTTAACTCGACATCTGGAAGTGGCAAACAGAACCCTTACTAGTATGGGGCCAGAATATGAAAGCGAGCTGGACCATATGAACACCCTACGCGAATTAAATCGTAAGCTACCACTATTTATGAGAGTTAGGTGGACAGAATGTGCGGGCTCTATTATCGAATCTGGTTCTAGACCTAAATTTAAAGATTTCCTTTTGTTTGTGAAGAAAAGAGCCAAACTCGTGAACAATGAATTCGGAGATCTCTATTCCGGCGTGGTAAGGAACAATGGAGGCAAGAGATTAGAAGGGAAAAAGGGTCCCTCTGCGAGAACTAGTTCGTTTGCAGCTGGAGCGTACAAACGAGAGAACGGTAGAGATGGAAACTTTAAAGAAAGGAGAACATCAAACATGAATGCCTCATTTGTCAAGAAGGCCGTAGGATATGGAAATGCGATAAGTTTAAGAAACTTCCTTATCACGAAAAGAAGAAGTTTGTTCAAGAACACGAACTTTGTTTCAGGTGTCTTATTAAAGGGCATTATGCCAGATCTTGTCCCAAGACTGATATTAAATGTCGAGTAGAAGGATGCGGAAACGGCCACAATACGTTGTTACATCCACCACAAACGAATACGTCCAGTAAGGAGAATTCAAAAGACGAACTGTATGAAGGAAATAACACAAACAAAAGGAGGGATCCGAACAAAGAGGGAAGTATAGATGAAGTAAAGGTAGCAGTTGCAACTGGGGCCGGAGACCGCGTGTGCCTTAGCGTTGTCCCACTGAAAGTAAAAGCAAAGGGGAATAATCGACCGGCAGTCAGAACTTACGCAATAATGGACAGCGGTTCAGAAGTAACACTTTGTCATAAACGTTTGCAAAATCAACTTGGAATAACTGGGCGTAAGCTTGACTTCACATTGACAGGGATGACTGGATCGACTGAATTAAAGAGTGAATTAGTGGATATCGTAGTAAGTTCTATGGACGACAGCACAGTGGTTGAATTACCAAATGTCAGAACGGTGAACCAAATACCAATTTCAGAGTCTTGTGTAGCAAAAAGAGGTGATATAAGAAAATGGCCGCACTTACGCAATCTTCCGTTGCAAGAGTTAGAGACTTGTGAAGTTATGCTGGTTATCGGACTGCGCGAAAATCCTAAGTTGTTTCTACCTTTAGAATATAAATTGGGAGAGGAGAAGGATCCAGTGGCAATTAAATACAGTTTAGGATGGACAGTGATTGGTCCTGTCGCCTACCGAAATGAACGGTGTGCATCGGCTAATCTTGCACGATTGGAATTCGATGCCCCTGACTCTGCCACTAATAATGAAGTTGATGAAGCGGAAAATGAATGCCTCAAGTATCAATTGGAAAGACTGAGGAAGACCGACTTTGAGGGCTCCCTAGTTGAAACTAAAGTGTGTCCGTCGCTTGAAGACAAGAGAGCGCTTCAAATAATGGAAGAGACGCTGACAGTAGTGGATAGTCATTTTCAAGTTGCCCTGCAATGGCGAAAGAAATCGCCCTCCTTACCCAATAATAGAATAATCGCAGAACGCAGAGGCTTGCTTTTGAAAAAATCTGTTACTGTTCTCAAGGATGAAAACCTGTTGGAAAAGTATCAAGCCACAATAAACGATTACATTGACAAAGGCTACGCAGAAAGAATTCCTCAGGATCAACTAGAGGTAAACGACAGACCAACGTGGTACCTACCACATCACCCGGTTACTCATCCTCTAAAGCCCGAAAAGATAAGAGTCGTCTATGATTGTGCAGCCAGATATGAGCAAACGTCGTTGAATCAACAACTTCTACAGGGTACGGATCAGACAAATCTGTTAACAGGCGTGTTAATTCGCTTCAGAGAGGAATTGGTTGCAGTAGTTGCTGATTTAGAAGCAATGTTCCATCACGTTCTAGTGGAACCAAAGGATCGGGACGCATTGCGATTCTTATGGTGGCCAAATAAAGACCTTTCCGGAGACATGGAAGAATACCGAATGACGAGACATTTGTTCGGAGCAACGTCTTCTCCAAGTATCGCCAATTTCTGTTTGCGGAAGACAGCCGAGTTGTATCAAAAAGAATACGACTCACTAGCAGTAGAGACGGTGAAACGTAACATGTATGTCGATGACTTGATGAAATCAATAAGCGAACCAGAGAAAGCAATAAGTTTAGCGAGTCAATTGCGTCAACTATTGAAAAGAGGAGGATTCCGCCTTACAAAATGGTACAGCAACAGCAGGAGCTTGATGGCAACAATTCCCGAAACTGAGAGAGCAAAATCCGTAAAGAATTTAAATTGGATAAGCTTCCCACAGAAAGTACTCTTGGAATAAAGTGGGACACAGAAGAGGATATGTTTGTGTGGGTTGTAGCGGAAAGAATGTTGCAGTTAGAAAACGAAGGTCCTGTCACTCGACGGAAGATAGTGTCAGCAGTATATTCGCTTTTCAATCCCTTAGGCTTTATTGCTCCGTTTGTTATGAAGGCGAAGTTAATACTGCAAATGCTTTGTAGAAAAGGACTTGGATGGGATGATCACATTCAGGCGAACGAACTTTCGCAATGGAAACGTTGGGTAGTTGATCTCCCAAAGCTACAAGAAATTCGGGTTCGCCGCTGTTTTAAACCTGCAGGATTCATAGAAGTTAAAGATGTGAGTCTACATATTTTCTCCGACGCCTCTCGACTTGGCTATTCGGCGGTGGCATATTTGCGTCTAAAGAATGGAAACAACGAAATACACTGCTCATTTGTAATTGGGAAGGCTAGACTCGCTCCATTAAGGGAGATTTCTATTCCAAGACTGGAATTAACGGCTGCCGTCATTTCCGTAAGACTTTCGAAGATTATTCGAGAAGAATTAGATATGGTAGTGCAAAGAGTTTGTTACTGGACAGATTCAATGTCAGTCCTCAAATGTATTAACAACGAAAGCAAAAGATTTCACACATTCGAGTCCAACCGTTTGTCAGTGATTCGTAGTGGATCGCACCCATCCGAGTGGAATTACGTGAACCGAGACGACAATCCCGCCGATGAAGGTTCCAAGGGCGTTAGATTGGACGTGTTGAGAAATAAAGGCCAATGGTTAAAAGGTCCTGCATTCCTTTGGGAGGATGAAAGCCATTGGCCGAAGGGAATAACAATTCCTGAATTAATGGATGAAGACCGAGAGGTAAGGAAGGAAGCCCAAATCTACGTGACTGCAGAACAGCCTCATTTGTTGGATATGTTGATTTCACGCCACTCCGTTTGGTGGAAGTTGAGGTGTTCTGTTGCTTGGTTGTTACGTTATAAGGATTATCTTCTTAGCAAGGCGAGACAAAGGAAAGTTATTTCTGGTCCTCATTTGGAATCGGAATTTAAAGTTGGACGACTAACAATGGAAGAATTGGATGCCGCCGATAGGGAGATCTTCGCACATGTACAGAACACCACATTTTCTCAAGAACTAAAACTGTTTGCAGTTCCAGGAAATGGAAAGGAGTTTGACAAGGCACTACTCAGAAAATCAGGAATCTCCATCCGACAATTAAATCCAATGATGGTGAACGGCTTACTAAAAGTTGGAGGCAGGCTTGGTAATGCGCCAATCAATGGGAAATCAAAACATCCTATTATTCTACCCTTCAAGCATCCCGTCACAGATATGATAATTCGTCAACATCATGCTGAAGTAGGTCATATGGGTCAAGAATCCGTCTTATCGTCACTAAGAAAGGAATTCTGGATAATTAAAGGAAGAACAGCAGTTCGACGCGTAGTACGAAGTTGCCTAGCTTGTCAAAGAAGAAAGGCTCGTTTGGGTGAGCAGCTAATGTCAGATCTACCAAAAAGCCGAGTGACACCTCAAAAACCTCCTTTTACTATAGTAGGAATCGATTATTTTGGACCCATGCTGGTGAAAAGAGGTAGATCGTTGGTGAAAGGATATGGTTGCCTTTTCACATGTTTCACGACCCGAGCAATCCATATAGAAATAGCTCATTCCTTGGATACAGACTCGATGATCAACGCTCTCAGGAGATTTATTAGCATGCGAATTTTGTTAGTGCTAACAAGGAATTGAACAAAGGAATTGAAGAATGGGATCAAAGTAAAGTGGACAAATTTTGTACGCAAAGAAGAATTAAGTGGCACTTTAACCCGCCTTCAGCGAGCCATATGGGAGGCATATGGGAGAGAATGATACAATCTGTTAGACAAATCCTCAAAGCAATTCTCAAGGAACAAGTAGTTTCAGACGAAGTCCTGCAAACCGTGATTGTAGAGGTGGTTCTAATCCTGAATGCAAGACCTCTCACGCGCAACAGTGATAGTCCTGAAGATGACGATCCTCTAACTCCAAACCACTTATTGCATTTACGAGCAAGTACTAGTTTACCCCCGGGATTATTTGACAAAAATGATTTGTGCTGTAAGAAGAATTGGAAGCAGGCTCAATACTTAGCAAATGTTTTTTGGCGTAGATGGCTCAAAGAATACTTACCAACATTAATGGAGAGAAAGAAATGGTACACACCGAGACGGAGTCTTAAAAAAGGAGATCTAGTACTTGTAGCTGACGAAAACTACCCACGGGGACAATGGCCGTTAGGTGTCGTTGTAGAAGCAATAGCAAGTAATGACGGTTATGTGCGGACAGTGAAGGTAAAAACTAGTTCAACAGTATCGACCAGAGCCAAACATCAACGAAAGGGAGATTACAAGATGAACACAGTAACCTTGATCCGTCCCGTGACTAAACTATGTCTACTTGAGGTGGACAATTAAAGTTTATATATCTAAATAATTTAGAATTTGAGAGTTATGTTCTTGTTGTGTTATCCAGAATTAACGGTAGCTTAATATGGTTGTAAATGGATTGTTACGTTGCAATTTCCATTTAGGGGCCGGTGTGGCTACCGTATGAATTGCCGCTTTGGACGGAATGGGGAGCAGGAAGTGACGTTTGAAAGGGTGTTGTTATTTAATAAGAGTAAAAGACAAATTGTTGTTAATGAATCTTGTACGTGGGACCAAACGGTCCTTAACGTAATTTGAGAACAGTAATTCGAAGACAGTAAATTGAAAACAAAGATAATAATTTGAAAATAATAAATTTGTAATTTGGTTTATTCTTAAGTTGTATGACGACTTGATAGTAACACAATTCCTCCAGATGGCTGCTTGGTAGTTGGCTCTCTTAATGTGCGAAGCAGGCTATCTGCCTTTGGGGGAAGGCATTCGTCAGAACACTTGCCAGATGTTTCGATAAGCTCAGGGTTATCATGAAGTACCTTCCAAGGCTTCCCTTTCCCGTTAAGGCACTCGTAGAACCGCAGCCTATGCCGAAAAAAGAAATTATACCAATTGTAGATCATTTGTAGCGCATGAGGCTTTTTACTTTTTATTTTATGGTGAAGACTTGTTTTTTTTTCAACTATGCAAAGAAAAAATTACAAGGTTTTATGGATGTTTGCTGGACATATAAAATGTACTCACCTGTAAATGCATGAAATGACGGTAAGCATTGCCACAAATCCTCTCCGAGTCTATCTGACAATGATGTGATATTTATGGCTCGAAATTTTTTACCAGTTCCCGTCAATAAATAAAGATTACCAACTTTCTTCTGCGTGGCAGTACAAATTAAAAAAAAACAACCCTATAGGGGGTTTTGACGATAAGATGATGATAGGTTTGCGCTGCATGCTTTGCATGAAGTAGCAGGTGAGTATCTACTTCTTTATGGTTACTTTCAAGCTCAGGAATATTTTCTGGAATAACTGGATCACTTGCTGATTTACTGGAGTCAGCCGAATGCACTTAGTATTGCTGGTTACATACAAGAAGGACAAACCAGAGAGCTGTGGTGATAAATAAGTACTCCAATAATCAGACGCAAATGCCATAAGAGACTCTTTGTTCCTACCAGAGCTCACAAATAAAACAAGATGGCGACAGGTAAAACTTTAAACGAATATTATGAAACTTTGGAGTACTGAAACACCAAAGATTGCAATTTCAAGAGATGCAAACAACTTAAATCATATTCAGTCAGTAAAAATAAGTAGTTTTCTGTGATTTTTATGTAGCCATGAATTTCGGCATTTAGAAATCATTTTTTAGCACATTTTCTTGATACAGAATACGGCCTATATGCATGAAGCTTATTCGTGATATGCGATGTTTATTTTCTTTTCCTTTTTATTGCATTTTCTACATGCAACATACAAAAAAGGGGACATTGTATGCATGAAATATGTTATTTCTATTTATACATGACATGAAAAAAGTTTTTTAAATAGTTTTTTGCGAGAATCTCTACGTTTCATTAAGACCCTGAGCTATATATGTACTTGCAATATTAGTGTTTTCGTGACATGAAAAATGCTTCTTAAATAACACATTTTTCTCTTTATTTGACGATTCAAATTTTTGAAAACTTTGATAGTTTGTGTATTCAACCGAGAACTACAATATTTTGGCAGTAGAAATAGGGAGGTATATCTAGAACTTCTTTTAACTCAGAAAAAGCGAATATAAAAAGTGTATTTTTTAAAAAACTAAAGTTACAAAGGACTGGCTTCACCCCGAGTTATTATTCTAGTATACTTGTAATTCAATGGTTATTGCTGGAGTTATCTTGCAGCCAACATGGCGGCGATGCCTGCTTGCAGGCTAAAAGTTGGCAACAAAACTTCAAATGCTACGACGAGAGTGGCCCTTCTGTTAAGTTATCTATTCTGTGACCATACACAACATAAACTTGTCAGAAGATTCCACGCTTTAATGGGTGACAGATATTCTCCTAAATATGTACAAAGTTGAAAATGTACTGGTGATTCAGGGAACGAGTCTATCCAGTAATAAACTGAGTAAAGGAAATCATTCAGGGCAAATATTCTTGTAAAAATTTCAAGAGACAAATGCCTGAGAGACACAATATAGTGTGGTTCACTTGCACATGGTTCTTTTGGCAATCGTCGGCTTCAAATTACTTGAAAATCTTTGTCAACTTCTTTCACAAGTAAATCATCATCTTTCACTTCGACATTTGCTTTACCTTGATCAAATTTAGCAGAATTTTTATATGCTTGGTTGATAAGATTTTGCACCTTTTGCCCCTCTTTCTCTGAACTATTCATAGAATCTTTAGAATTAGTCTCTAAATGTTGGTAATATTGAGTGGCTCTTTATGAAATGAGATATCAGCAAAACTATCATCATCTGGAATTGAATCTTCTAAGTCACTACTTCCGTCTTGGTTGAATTTTACAAAGAATTTCTCTCGTTCACAATTCAAATTTCGACCAACATGGCAAAAAATTTTTTTATTGATTCCTTGCACGATAACAACAAGACATCTACAAGTCACGAGTAACTCAGGCCCGTTTTAAACGTCGAACATTACGTGAACCAAACACATTTAAAACCAAAGATAGTCAGGATTTCATCTCAATTTGCTTTTCCTTTAATGCATTCGGCTTCTGTAAAGTTCGACGTTTGAAACAGGGCTCAGACTGTAGTGAAAACTATTTCACGCATTCAAAATTAGCATAAAATTGTCTAATAATCTTAATGCAAAATAAAATCTCGTGTTATCATCAATAATTGCCAACTAGCATAATATACATTTCTATGAGATCACGCATTCCGAATCCAAGTCAACATCTACGGATTCTTTAAGAAGTTGACTCACAATAGCCTGTGCAAAAAATATTGTTGTACCATACTTTCCTGAAGTAGGTGCACTGTAAAATGTCGACATGTCCTGTTTTTTGGAAAAGAAAACAAACGAAAGATTAAAAAAAAATTATACGAAGTGACTTGCGGAAAAAACATAGAAACAACACAGAATTCACTACTTTGGGATGCTTGCAGATAGCAAAACAATAAAATCAATTGCAAACGTTAGAATCAACCGGTTAATTAGACTCCTGCTATATCGGCAGATATTGTTGATTGATATCTATATAGTTCATTGCAAGATTCTTACCTTTCCTGTTTCGTCATTGTATAATTGCATAGCTCCTGTGACCAACTACGAAAATTTAACAAAACTATCAATAAATTTGCAGCAGGACGTCCATTTTCTAGTTTTGCTTTAAAAATTTATTGCAGCAAACCAAATATGTTATTTTCAAAGTACATTACCAGAGAAAAAACTTATCATTTTGAAAAAAAACTTATCATTTCATAGCAATACTTATATCCATCTTCAAACGGGATATTTGTTTAACAGCCCAAGGCTCTTTTCCACTCATCGCAAAATGCCCTCGCTGCAAGCTTGCGAGTATTTTCGCGCCATCAAAAAATTTTGTTCAATTAATTTAACTATGCTGCAAGTCATGGTATGCTCGCTGCGAGTAATGGCTCTTTTCCACACATCGCAAAACGCACTCGCAAGTTCGCTGCGAGTGCCTGCGAGTTACTCGCAGCGAGCTTACCATGACTTGAAGCATAGTTAAATTAATTGAACAAAATTTTTTGATTGCGCGAACAGACTCGCAAGCTCGCAGGGGCATAATTGATCGGACATATGTGTATGCTTTCGGAGAACAATAGCTTAATGTTAATGCAAATTCCTTTGTTGCATTGTTATATCGTCTGTTGGTTGGTTTCAGTTTTGAATTTTGGACCATGTACCTGAATAATGATCTTTTAAAACACATTTTTTTTGTAATTGAGACATTTCAGATGGAATTATTGGTGATTTTTTTTGAGGTGCAAGCTATTTCTTTTGTGTTCTTCATGACAGATTCTTTTCTTCGTAATTTTTGTTGCAACAATTTTATTTTTTTATACATTTTTTGAATTGCATTTGAAGTTGTGGCAACAGCTAATGTTTCATTTTGGGAATGCTGCAACTCCATGGATTTGTGAAGAATATTTACTTGTGCTGGTAGACTTAGCTCATGTAATGTGGTTGTGCTTGCAATGAAAGGCACTGCAATAGATTGTGGTAAATACTCCTCAATGTTATTTTGTACTGAATGAAAACTTTGCAACTGCTGAAGGTCCATTGAATCATTGAGTACTAGCGAGCTTAGTTAGATCTACCCCATGTTTTGTGGTCACTTTTGTAGTGGAAGTCACTTCAATAGACTGTGGTAAGAATTCGTGGTTGACATGAAATGAATTTGCTAAAGATGGTTTTGCATGTATATCTGATATTGTGTCTTGAGAACATAGGAAATTATTTGTACCAGTTTGGAATTTTCGGAAAACAGAAGGAATGGCATTAAACCTATATCTGAGCTTGTTGGATGACTAAAATCATGTTTTAAAAAATGTTTGCTGCAAATGAAGCTGGACTGGCTTGCTTTCCATTTGTTTCTGTGTTTATCATATTTTATAAAAGAATTCTCCCATTTAGTAAGCAATCGAGTATTCTTTTAAGGAAACCTAAAGTGAATGTATACATGGACACTGTTATCAAAAATATATCAATATAAATCAAGGTAGTTTTGACATGACCAAACTGAAAACAATTGCAGTTTGTTGTTATTTTATATTCTCCTTTTGTTATATCATTTTGTTGTAATCTTTGATGCAAATGATTGTTGTATTATAGTTTAGTGACAAAAGAATATCAGAATTATTGTAAAGTCTTGATGCTTCATACACATTTTGAGTAACCAGACTGTGTAAGTACTGTCTTACGTTAACAATGAAAAAGTTTCCTTCAAAGATTTAGCTAACTTGGCTGGTCTAAACATGTAGTCACTACTAGCGTCCACTTTCTTAATATCAAAAGTCAACAAAGCTGTATTTTCGTTAGGAAAAATTAGTCAAGTTTACTGGTAGTCAAGTTTCATTACGTTTATACTGACAAAACATCATCAGCGAATAAACAATTCAAAATTTTAGGAATAACGTGAGTATTCGACAAAATTTTCAGGATACAATATACTTTCTACTGTACATACAAATGTTTACAAAGTGAAAAACAGTTGTTTTCCTTTAATTTTTGACAAACCATGTTTTACAGTTATTTTGTATCTCGCTTGAAATACAGTTCTCATAGAACATATATAAAGGTAATGACACAAATCATCTAGTAGCTTTTCCACAAACGTTGTTTTTCATTCCACTAACACTTTGATTGCGCTTTCATATACTCCCCATCTTTGTTTATTTTGAAAAATTGGTTTAAGAGCGCGAGTTTGAAAAATGCATCTACTTAAAATTCATAAGTATTGACGTAATGACGAAATTTACCTACCGATGAAAAGAAATTTTCTCACCAAGTATTTTCTTGCCATTTTGCTTTCTTGTGCACCCAGGCACAACGCAATAAATTGGCATAAGTGAAAAAACTTATCACTGTCTTTTCAGCAAGTTTTATTAAAACATATCCTTTCTCTCAACAAACTCAATAAAAAAATATTTTCGCAGTGAGTTGTCCGTTAGCGTGGCGTTGCCTTTCGCGATAGCACTAGTGTGAAAAAATTCAAACTTATAGTGGCCGTGTAGGGTTTTGAAGTTGGGGGATTGAAACTGACGTACAAACCGCGCAAGAGACTAGGACTTTGGCTTCAATTTTATATGTATAAAATGTATTGTCGTTATCATTCCAGATATATATATATATATATATATATATATATATATATATATATATTTGAAAATTGGTAACCCAGGCATATTATGATAATGATAAGGAATCTCTGGATTCTTATATATATATATATATATATATATATATATAAGGAGAAAATAAAACTACAATTTCATCCGATAAAGATTTTCGTGATTGCTTCTTCAGAGCTTAAGAGTGAGCAATATTATTTATTTTATCTATTTACGCTCTAATAGCTTAAGCATCGAGCACTGTATTATGGAGATTCAAATAAACTTCCTATATATATATATATATATATATATATATATATATATATATATATAAAATGAATAAAATAAAATAAAATGGACAATTGTTTGCTGTCGCTACTAGAGTTTCATAGGGCGATCTTCAGGCAACTGACAGATAATATTATATTTGCTGACTATACATCGACTAAAAGGTGTTAAGTTACATGACGGCATGCACTAAACATATCGGAACGTTTATTTAAAATGTTCTTTTACGTCCTTTCAGGATAAGTAGCCTTTCTTCAAGGCAAAGGGCACTTCTTTGTTATTTGTTCCACCTGGAAGTTGTTTGATGAAGTCGCATTTAATGTTGTAGTTACGTTTGTTTTCTTTCAGTGTCCACGTGTATGTAGAAAGTTCTGTCTCGTTGCGGTATTTAACTTAACACCTTTTAGTCGATGTATATAGTCAGCAAATATAATATTATCTGTCAGTTGCCTGAAGATCGCCCTACGGCGTGAAACTCTGAGTAGCGACAGCAAACAATTGTCCATTTTATTTTATTTTAGTTCATTTTATCTTACGCTCTTCTAATATATAGAATATTGAGCGCTCTTTTATCCAGGAATATTATCCATATATATATATATATATATATATATATATACATAAAAGATAACAGTTTCTCCGGATTTTAATTGATTTTTTATTGAGCTTTCGACTCGTTGCTTCGAGCCTTCATCAGAATGAAAAATATTTATTTACACGTGCTTTTAGCTTGGAGACGTTTAGAGCGTCTAATTGGATGAGTGGGTGGATTAATGTGATTGGATGGGGTGAAATGCGTTGCCATGGGTTTTGGTGTTACAAATTTTCAAACTTATATATATATATATATATGATAATGATAAGGATTCTCTGGATTTTTATTTTGAAATTTTTATTAAGCTTTCAACTCGGTGCTTCGAACCTTCGTCAGAATGTAAGAATATATTATTTACAAAGATTTTGTAGGCGTTTGGAGCGTCTGATTGGTTGGTTAGTAGTTGAGTTGATATTATCGGATGGTATAAGATGCGTTGTCATGGTTTCGGGTGTATGGATTGCGTTAATGAAATTTGAGTGTTTTACTTTAGTCGTTGTGTTATTAGTTTGTTGTTTTGGTTTTGTCTTTAGTTGTGAATAGATGATGGGGATGTCAATATGCCTGTTTATTGTGTTGTTGTCTTTGCTGTACCATGCCTCTTTGAATTCTCGTGCGTGTTTTGTCTGTGCGCGTCCAAGAAGTTGTGTTTTTGTCCAGTCAAATGTGTGGTTGGTATCGTAGGTATGTTCTGCTGGTACCATTTTGGGTCGCGTCGTTTGATGGCATTCTTGTGTTCAGTGAGTCTTGTTTCAATTTTCTTGGATGTTTGTCCTATGTACTGTTTGGGGCAATCTTTACATGGTATCATGTAGACCGCGTTGGTTGTGTCAAATGTCATTGTTCGGTCTTTATGTTTAGTGAAGTATGATTTGAGTTTGTGTGTTGGTTTATGTGCGATGTTTATTTTGAATGGTCGGAGTAGTCTTGATGTCATTTCTGATGTGCCGTTTATATATGGTAATGTCACTATTTTTACTGGTTCGTCTGTATCTTCGTTAGGTTTTTCAGTTTGTGGTTTGTTGTGTATTTTGTTTAATACTTTGTTGATAAAGTTTCGTGGGTAATTGTTGTTTATGAATGTAGAGTATAAGTAGTTGCGTTCATTCTTCTTGGCTTCTTCTGTATTGCAGTGTGTTTTAATCCTGTTAAAGAGAGTTCGTATGCAACTAATTTTGTGTTGTGTTGGGTGATTGCTATTAAAGTTGAGTATTTGGTCTGTGTGTGTATTTTTGCGGAATACTTGCGTGTTTAATGTGCCGTCATGTGATCTGGTAAGTAGAATATCTAGGAAGGTAAGTTGTTTGTTCTGTTCTTTGTCCATGGTGAAGGTTATGTTCTGTGTGGTGTTGTTTATTGTGTGTAGAATGTTTTCTGTTTTGTCTTTTTCGACGATAGCAAAGATGTCGTCAACAAATCTTCTCCATAGTCTGATGTGTGTGTTGTTGGTGACTGAATGCTTTTCAAGGTGTTGCATAACAGCTTCTGCAAGAAAGGTGGATAAAGGAGAACCCATTGGCGTTCCTGAGATTTGTCGGTAGTATGAATTTTGGAAGGTGAATTCAGTGGAGAGGCAGAGCTCGAGCAGGTCGATGATGTCGTCTTGGTCTAGTTCGGTTGTGATCGTTACTCTCAGAATAACGAGAAAGTGGGAATTATTCGCACGCAAAGAAATATCGACGTTGGAGCAACTACACTTCTTACACAACTGCAAACAACAGCGAATCCTACCGAACAGTATCAACTACCAACCACCAATAAAAACGAATTATGCCCAACAAATAGCACAATCAAACGGCCGACGTATGCTGAACATCCTCATATCTGACGCTCACAACCGCTTACGAATCTACAGACGAAAATTAAACCAACATCGAGAAACTGTTACGAATTACATCACACAAACCGATGCCAAATCCATTGACGAAACCATCAAAGAAACAACAAACGCGTATCGAACAAAACGACACAACGAACTCCAACGAAAACTACAAAAATCGAGATCATTTAAGGAAAATAACACCGACACGCATTCATGGGTAAAGAACATATCAAGCAAGCCACTCACCATACCACAGACTAAAATTTTAAGCAAAGGCTTCAATAACAACATCAAAGACGCCGACAAACTCGACTTCGTTGCCGATCTAGAATCCACACTGAAATTCACCAACTTAAGTGATGAAACCAAAGAAGACATTCGCCACAAAGTAACGACAAACCTCTGCCTCAAAAGACCAGTCACACTCAACAACGAAGAACAAAAAGCTATCAGAAACTTACGAAACGACGAAGACATAGTCATACTACCAGCCGACAAAGGACGCAAAACTGTAATCATGGACAAATCAGACTACATCAACAAAGCGAAGACCCTCTTACAAGACACCAACACGTATGAACCTCTACAAACAGACCCCAACAAAACCACTACCAACCGCATCAACAAGAAATTGAAACAACTAAAAGACAAAAAGAAACTTAACGAAACCGTCTACAAAAGAATCCGACCCAACGACTCCTCCACCGCCAAATTCTATGGACTACCAAAGATTCACAAGGAAAACAACCCACTACGACCAATTGTATCTCTTCCTGGATCTCCCACGTATGAACTATCTAACTATCTTTCTAATATTCTGCACCCACTAGTCAAATCATCACATCATACTATCAAAAATGCCACAACTTTCCTCACCAATATTAAAAATGTAAAACTAAAACCAGACGAAATCATGATATCTTACGATGTAGTGTCACTTTTCACATCCATACCCCTAAACGTAGCCAAACAAGTCACAAACGAACTACTTACTAACAACAACTCATGGAAAATCACAACCGAACTAGACCAAGACGACATCATCGACCTGCTCGAGCTCTGCCTCTCCACTGAATTCACCTTCCAAAATTCATACTACCGACAAATCTCAGGAACGCCAATGGGTTCTCCTTTATCCACCTTTCTTGCAGAAGCTGTTATGCAACACCTTGAAAAGCATTCAGTCACCAACAACACACACATCAGACTATGGAGAAGATTTGTTGACGACATCTTTGCTATCGTCGAAAAGACAAAACAGAAAACATTCTACACACAATAAACAACACCACACAGAACATAACCTTCACCATGGACAAAGAACAGAACAAACAACTTACCTTCCTAGATATTCTACTTACCAGATCACATGACGGCACATTAAACACGCAAGTATTCCGCAAAAATACACACACAGACCAAATACTCAACTTTAATAGCAATCACCCAACACAACACAAAATTAGTTGCATACGAACTCTCTTTAACAGGATTAAAACACACTGCAATACAGAAGAAGCCAAGAAGAATGAACGCAACTACTTATACTCTACATTCATAAACAACAATTACCCACGAAACTTTATCAACAAAGTATTAAACAAAATACACAACAAACCACAAACTGAAAAACCTAACGAAGATACAGACGAACCAGTAAAAATAGTGACATTACCATATATAAACGGCACATCAGAAATGACATCAAGACTACTCCGACCATTCAAAATAAACATCGCATATAAACCAACACACAAACTCAAATCATACTTCACTAAACATAAAGACCGAACAACGACATTCGACACAACCAACGCGGTCTACATGATACCATGTAAAGATTGCCCCAAACAGTACATAGGACAAACATCCAAGAAAATTGAAACAAGACTCACTGAACACAAGAATGCCATCAAACGACGCGACCCAAAATCACTACCAGCAGAAAATACCTACGATACCAACCACACATTTGACTGGACAAAAACACAACTTCTTGGACGCGCACAGACAAAACACGCACGAGAATTCAAAGAGGCATGGTACAGCAAAGACAACAACACAATTAACAGACATATTGACATCCCCATCATCTATTCACAACTAAAGATAAAACCAAAACAACAAACTAATAACACAACGACTAAAATAAAACACTCGAATTTCATTAACGTAATCGATACACCCGAAACCATGACAACGCATCTTATACCATCCGATAATATCAACTCAACTACTAACCAACCAATCAGACGCTCCAAACGCCTACAAAATCTTTGTAAATAATATATTGTCACATTCTGACGAAGGCTCGAAGCACCGAGTTGAAAGCTTAATAAAAATTTAAAACAAATCCAGAGAATCCTTATCATTATCATATATATATATATATATATATATATATATATATATATATATATATATATATGGAGTTCACGGGCGCAACATGTTGTCAAAACATGGATGCCGCCATACCTTATATGGCAAATTTAGGGTGAAAATGTCAGCGGAGTTGCACAGGCTCATGTTTAAAAAACTTTTTCTTCCATCATGATTTCACCCAAAACTTCAATAGACGAGATAATAAAAGAAGTAAAATATTGAAACTATGCTTTCAATCACAACCGTTTTTCAAATTTCATCAACAAAACATGCTGAAAACTTGTGGTAAACGAAATGGGGAAATAGTGCAAGAAAAGAAAACATTTCATGACACCGGTAAGCCAGATAATCTTGTTTCTCTTTCAAAATATTCAGTAATTTTTAACAGCCAATTCTTTCCGTAATAAGGCTAAACGAAACTCGCCCATTACATATGAATTGAATTTCCGCACTCCTAACTCAAGAAATGGAATAGGATTTAGTCCAAATATTTTTCTGAAAACATGAGGGAAAAGTGAGGTTTACACATTAGAGTTGTGTCGAAATGGAATGCATTTGAGCATTTCAAGCATTATACTACTACACTGCAATATTTGTAAAACAGTCTGAACTTAAGCAACAAAGATAATGGTGTTAAAGTTATGCTTGATGCTACTAGTTTTATCTATGACATTTGATGCACTATGCATGGTAATAGTAATTAGGATAATTGGATAAACATCAAAAATCAACCAACTAAACAGAGTTGCTTTCACCATATGATGCAAAGATTTGCTCATGACTGTGTGTATGACTAGTTGAGTTTTGCATTGCCTTATCTTACAACAGTCAACACACTTTTGTATACTTCCAGGTTAATCAGGATTATCTTGGGATGAATAGGTGGCAATGAAGTTGACTGCAGAAGAAGCAAAAATCTGTTTGTCTGATGAAGATGATGTAGAAATAAATAAACTAATTGACTGAAATAAATTTGAGATCATAAATTGCAGAGTTCCTTGATCTTGCATTGAGTCTAGAATTATTTTAAAATAAGTTACTATTGATTTGTTTAATTTATTTTCTTTATTTTGTTGAAGAATGGGAAAAAAATTACTATGGTAAAGGTTGGGGATAAATATTTTCCATTCTTGTTCAAGAATTGATATTTTATTTGAGTTTGAAAAGTATTTCCTTGTTGAACAGCAATTGCCTCTCCCTCTATCTCACCAGCCTCCCAATTTCTCTTTAAACTTCTAATGCTCCTCTAATTGCAAGAATAGTATAAATTCTTTGTTGTGAATCAAAAATATACACCCTTAACCTCCCACAAATAATATTGTTTCAACTTTTCAAGTTTTCAGAATAATAAAACAATTTTAGAGGCAAACTCGGTGTTTATGAAACTTGTAATGGCTCAAAACACTATTTTTTACATAAATTTGCTTTCATGCAGCAAGAACCAATGATACATGTTAGACAAACAATACACTTCAATTACAAAAGTCGACGTTTCCAAATATAATAATTTAGTTCTGCTCTGCTATTCAGCAGTTGATCCAAGATCCAATCCTTTAGCACATGACAAAAATGTTGGCTAAAATTATTTAGAGATTTCTAACGAGCAATTGCATTATATAATATTTTGAGTTTTGCTATAATATATCAAGTTAATACCCTAACTGCCAGAGTTAATTTATGACATCTGCCACTGCCAGTATCCAAGCAATGTTTACTCAAAATTAAATGACAGCAAATTTAGACAAGATTCAATTAGCAGTTGACTTGCCCTAGGACACTTTCTCATGCCTTAACGTCGATTTAATCGATAAAGATAGTTGTAATAAGCTTGATCACAATACATTCACGATCCAAACTCCAACTGACGAATGCCATCATGCATCGTTTATTTTTGATTAAAATTGTCGTGTAAGAAAAGCAAAAGTTTCTCCAATGTGAAATTTGTACTTATTAATGTATATACATTATGTAAAACGGTTAAGCATACATTTCAATCGTAAACGTTATGGATTTATTCCATTATCGGTATTGTTTTTTACTGGTTGTATTTTGTATTGAACCAGAAACCAGGAGGGAGTGAATGATAAACAATAATTTTTCAAGTGGAAGTTTTCCACCCCAAATTTCCTTTTGGCATCCATGCTTTTGACAACAGTTCCCAGGCCACTTTGTATATCCAGTTAGTTTAATAAAAACAATGGGTAAAATGCGCGAGGACAAAAGTTCAAAGGTTCCGATGAGAGTAAGCATACTGTATAAAATCTATACTGTGCCGGAGCAAACGTTTTTTATCTCCTAGATGTATAACTACCTTGTGAAGGTGAGGAAAGGACGCTAGTTGAATGGTGACAAAAAGCAAAACTCAAAATCAAAAATAAGTTAGAAGAATATTAAAAAAAACAATCTTACCAAACATTTTTAAAATAAAACCTGGACTATCAACTCTGCAACTGTTTATCAACGCACAAAAAGCAGATCTCAGTCCTTGATATCGTCAGTTCTGCCCATAGAGATTATAAATAAGATTGGAGGTGGCATTGATGACGTTTTTAGGCGACACGTGAAATGGGGAGGAAATTAGGTCCCAGATTAAAACATGAAATAAAAAAATCCCGTTTTTGCCGTCTGCTTCGAGTTTTGGATTCTTTTTAATATACTGTAGTAGGTTTTGTTACTCTTTTGTACGAGCATAAAGAGAATTTGTCATTTTAAAGCGTTAGTAATTGTTTTTAGCGAGCTGATATTATCATTGTATGTTGTCTATAATCTTCATATGCTTTGTATTTTTAATTAAACTGTACGCAATGAAAACTTATAGTGTTTTTTGTAGTTTTTCTTTTTTACAACCTACATATTCATATAGTTTGACAATTTTTAATATATTTCCGGTATGGATGATAAATATATGTTTTTTGAAATCTGTTAGTGATTAAATTAAAGACGAAAAAGGGCTTCTTATCAAGCAATGATTCACGGACTTATATAATTTGCTGAATAAGTATAAAATCAGCACAACATGTTTTGCAAAATATGAATTTCTTAAGCCATCTAAAATTACGATAAAAAGGAAAGCACTGTTCAACAATTAGATTGTGATAGTATTTACTATAGTATTTACGCATAATATGTGCAAAAAAGAGAAAAAATCATAGTTTTCCACTGTAGCTTAGGGAATCGATTTTGCCTCCCCAAAAAACGCGTACCATATTTTTAACTATAGATTATATTATGATGCCTACTATCGTCTTATTTCCAATCCCTATGGTCCTGCCTCAGTAGTAACTGTAAAATTTCGGTGAAGTCAGAAAATTTAGCAGACTGGGCTTTAGGTCATTAAGTGAAGCCTATAATTTCACTTTTAGACAACGCTGCAAAAAAAGCATAAAAAACTTGAATTTATTTGCAGACGAGTAGCAAAAGAGGTCGAACGAGACAACAAAATATTTTGGTAAGTTATAAGTCGTAAAATAATACAACAGACAGTCCTTGAGTCAAGATAGTCAACTACAATAACACACAATGAATGTATTAATAATAAGGATGACTTACGTCGTCAAGTTTTATAGTAACATGAAACCTCAGTTCTTTATTTCGTTTGAGTATTGTCGCCATCACCATTAAAAGCTAAAATATATTAATATCGTTTAAACACTTAGATCAGTTTTTATATTTACAAGTACGTCGTCTGAATGATTACTTTACAGTAAAACACGCTACAAGTAAGAATAGTTTGAAGAACAATGTCCTTTTTTCCAGCTAGAGATTTATGGATATCATGGGTAGTGTAAAGTTTCAGAAGAGGAACGTGCATCAAATATATTTGAAATACAGAAGCTTCGATATAGCAATTCTATGCTCCTTTACATTAATAAATAAGTACGCCCATTCATACGTAACCGGATATTTGTAAAGGCGCAGAAATGATTACACAAATAGGAAAGAATCTCCGTCATTTATATAAAAACTTAAATTTTCTTTGCAGTTCATACAAATCCAAATATTGATTTTGCTAATATCTGAAAATAATATAAACCTTGGTTGATATATAGTTTGGCATCATTTAAGTTTTAGTCTTATTTCTTCTATTACTATTACTGTTACTATTCCCTGCACTTAATACACCAAGAGTTCGTTTTTTTGAATGCACTTGCAGTTGATGCAGAAAATGCTGTCTAGAAGAGTTATTGTAAGCAGTAGCAGAGTTACTCTAAAGGGCTATATAGAAATAGGACCTGCTCTGGACAAGACATTTTCTTAAATATACATTATACGTATAATAAAGCAGTTATGAAAAAAAAATTCAGTGACAATAAAGTTGCTAAAGTTAGCCTTTACCGCCAATCACAATACTGAATTTCCTATTTAAAAAACCGTTGATTGCTTCACAGTTCTTAAAACGTCGTGATGACGGAAGTAAATGTTTAAAATCAAGAAACCATACCTCAACGAGCAATTGTCTAAATTCAGGCTTTGAAACGTTGCTCAAGAATTCCTCCACCTTCAAAGCGAAACTTTTTTCACCCTCCGTCAACTCATCAATGGTGGGAAACTTAAAGCAAAGAAAGAAATTATTTTTTATTCATACAACATCGCCTCATATATTATTTTACAATGTTTTTGAAATTGCGTTCATATCAAGAGCGGGCCAGCCCGGCTTGGCGAGATCCCGCTTGAAGGAAACGGCATATGAATGCGATTACAAATTGGCCTGGCAAACCATCTAGTCCTGCTTAAGCGGGCTAAACCGTCTCATATGAACAGGCCCTTATTCTAAAACAATTAAAGATGAATAAAATCAATTATTTGTTAATCAACCAAGCATGTTATACAATAACATTTACAGAAATTGAAAGTTGCTTGAAAATTGATCTTTTAATAACTACATGTGTTCGACAACGAGGATCTTCTAATTTATTTCAATAGCCGCAAAAAACAATGGTTTCTCCATTAAATATTTCTACAATACAATCATAGGCAGAGGTTAATTATTTAACTATACATACAGTATTATTTAAAATTGATGTATATTCATGTTCACTATTATGTTCTTTACGTAAATTTTCTTTATGAGAAAATTGCCATTCAAAAATTCTACTTTCATTTCCAACACGTTTCTAAGTTCTGTAATTGTTCAAATTGCAGTCTGCAAGGAAGTATAAAAAGTTATAGTAACTTCGATGTAGTCGATCTTCTAATTTTCTCTATTCATCCTCTCATACAATGGCATTCGTAAAAAAATATTCTTCCTGAGTTTGTTCTACATATTTCCAAATTTTTTATCGACTTTCACGTTATTATGTATTTATTTCTCTAGCAATAAATTGCGCTACTATACTAATTACTGATATTTGGTTCTTTAAATTAGAAACGTGTTAAAGATCCACGAACCATTCAAGTTACTAATGACAGTTGTTTCTTTGATGTAAAGCAAATGTTGTAACTAAAAATGTTGATTAAATACCTTGGGCAAATATGATCTCGACAGAGAAAATCCACTTTCAGAACGTTCTAAAATCTTCCAAACTGAAATTAAAACCAACTCGATGATAAAATTTATGAGAAAAAGTTGATGGAAAACATTAAAGATGAATGGTGTTTCACAAATGTACTAAACACCAAGGAAGTATTCTATTGAAGCAAAAACAGTTTATGAACGTCTTGCAAAAAAAGGGAAGTTTGCAATGTTCACCAAACACTCTGTATCGAAGACTGAATTGTCTTCGATAGAGACAGAAATATCAGAAATGTCAGAATGTCAGTACTCACACAAAGAAATGTTTACGCATAAAAACATTAATACCCTGTGAATAAAAACCAGGTGGCACACGATGCATTGCACCATTCAGTTGACGTTGTTCCAAAATATTTCTGTAAAAAAATGTTGCAAGCATTTTTGAAATTTAAACTTTCACTAGAATGGTGATTGTATTTGATGCAAAAAAGCTATGCGTGTTCTGCAAAATGAATTTATCGACGATTTTCGTACCTTGGAGCTAAATCTTTGCCATTAATACGTCCTTTACATGTTAAAACAACCCAAACTAGTTCTTTTACTCGACTTGGTGGAAACGTGTAAACCAACTTCGTAAAATATGATTTAAATATTACATAAATAAAATCGCAGCATGTCAATCAACAATGAAAAGTAAAATTAACGTGAAGAGACTTCAGCAACATCAAATACCTCCGTATTCTCACTGGGAAAATGTCTTTCTAGCAAATTTTTCATTTCTTGGACAATCCACCTTTTAAAGTTCAAAGTTTGATGAGTAAATGTTGACATTTTAGTGTCGCAAACACATCCTCGCACTTGTCTTTTTGCTTCGTTCATACTTGTTCTAATTTATATCGATGTGTGCATTTATAATAACTTTCTTTTTTCTAAAACATTTAAAATACACGACAAATTTCTTTAGAGCAAACATGTTTCGGCATAGTTTATGCCATTTCAGTGCGAAAGGAGTGTGAGCGGTGTCTAGGATACGAAAACAAGATTGTGTGTAATTGTTTTTGCAGTGTGGTGACGACAATAAGTGTCTGAATATGTGTGAGTTTTTGTCCGTGGTTGTATGTTCTTTAATCCGTGTGGAAAGGTGGCGGGTGGCTCCCCAATGTAACTGGAATTACATCCAGCACAAGAAAATTCATAGACCACGTTGCATTTTAAAAGAGTTGGAATAGGATCTTTGAAACTAATTGCTTTTATTTTGAAAGATGAAAAAACTAGTTTGATGTCTAAGTCTGAGCAGTAGCGTTTTATCAAGTTGTGTAATTCTTGCTCTGTGATTTGTGAAATGTAGCCAATGTAGGGTAGTTTAAAAAAAAGGCTCGAGATGGGTAGGTGTGGGTTCGTTTTCTGTTGTTTGTTTCGTTTGTGTTTTTGTCATGGTCATATGATTTAACGATTTTTTCTATGATAGGTGAGGGAAAGGAGTCTCGTTTGAGATTGTCAATGAGAGCGTTTAAGTCATGATAATGGCCAGTCGACGTGTTGTTAATTTTCTATATGCGGTCCATGAGAGTTTTGATCAGTCCTGTCTTATACTTTTGTTAGGTGAAGCTAATAAAATTAAGTAATAATCCAGTGTAGGTCTTCTTATGAAAAGTACATGTCGTGTATGTGTTTTTAGTAATGAGTATGTCTAGAAATGGTAACTTGTTGTCATGTTCTTTTTCTATGGCAAAGTCAATGTTCTTGTGATTGTATGTTTAAATAATTAAAAAACAAAGAGAGAGCGTCATCCTCGTTGTTAAAAATACAAAATATATCATCTACGTAGCGTCGGTAAAACAATACTTTAGGTCCGTCATATTTCTTGATCCAATACTTTTCATGATATCCCATAAAAAGATTGGCAAGAAGTGGTGCTAATGGTGAGCCCATCGCGACTCCGTCAATTTGACCAAAATTGTCCGTTAAATAGGAAATGAGTTTGTAATGTGGCGACGAAAAAAAAGTTGCTTTAGGTCTTTGCAACATTACATGCCTAATTATATTTATATGCTGTAATGACGTAGGTAATTCCTTATTTATTATGCATGAGTAATGTATATAAGAACCTGTACTTATGTAAGTTTGGAGAATTAAATAAAAGACTTATTACATGGTGGCAGCGATTAGGAAAAGTTGGTTCTTATCGAATGGCAGAAGGATTTTCTAGGCCAGCACGACTCTCGTTTGAAGGCAACGTTGCTGAGAATTGGCGTCGCTTCAAACAGAACTATGAAATATACATTGTTGCTGCAGGACATAGTCGGAAATCAAAGAAAGAAAAGTCATGCATCCTCTTAAATCTAGCTGGCGAAGATGCGGTTGAAAAATATAATTCTTTTACCTACAACGAAGAGGAAGACAAAGACGATCCAGAAGTTCTAGTGAAGAAATTTGAAGAAATTTTTATGCCGATTAAGAATTTAATATTCGAAAGACATTTATTTCATACAAGGAAGCAAAGTCCGTCAGAGTCGATTAGTTCGTTTGTTACAGATTTGAAAAACATTGCTCGAAAGTGCGAGTTTGGTGACCACGAGAGCGAACTTATTAAAGATCGTATTGTGTGTGGGATTAACAGTGATGCAGTAAGAAAGATTCTCCTTCGCGAAACAAGTTTAACTTTAGACAAGACTCTAAACATATGCAGCGCAAACGAATTGTCGGAACAAACAAGTGAAAGATCATACTAATTATCAAGATGTCGATGAACTGGAGGCTAGGAAGAATTTGAAAACCTCAAGAGGAAGTTACACAAACTTAAGTCAAACAAAAGAAGATAAACATCGAGGAAAAAGATTCGTATTAAAGAACAATTGCAGAAACTGTGGAGGAAAACATCTTCCAAAGCAATGCCCAGCTTTTGGAAAAATTTGCCACAAATGTCATAAGAAAAACCACTTTGCTCGGGTGTGTCTAACGTCTACACAAAAGTCACAAAGAACAGTTCATGAAGTTAGTGATGAAGAATTGTTTATTGGTGCTGTTAATGCAATCACACCTACGCAACAACGCACAAGCTCGAAAGTGGACAATCGAATGAATATCGAAGCTGTAGAAAAAAGCAATGACGAGTGGTATTCTGAACTCAAGTTTGGCAGACATTTGGTGAACGTGAAGGTGGATACAGGCGCAAAATGTAATGTTGTTTCTAAAAAATTGTTCGACAAAGTCACAGAAGCTGAGCAACAAGTTACCAAAACAAATACAAAGCTCATGTCGTATAGTGGAGATTCAGTTCAAACCTTGGGACAAGCAGTGATGACGTGTTCTTACAAAGACAAACGATACAATCTTCTTTTCTATATAGCGACACACGATGTAAAGCCTATTCTTGGTTTACCTGATTGCGAGCGTTTGGGTATGGTGAAAAGAATTCTAGATGTCAAGCCTATTTTCACTAGCGACGATATTCTCAATGAATATGCAGATCTCTTCGATGGCAAACTGGGATGTTTACCCCTTAAACATCGTATCAGTGTCAATCCAAATGTAAAACCTACAATTCATCCTCCTCGCCGCGTTCCAGTAGCTATGTGAACGAAAATTAAAGAAGAGTTAGAACGAATGCAACAGATGGTGTCATCGATCCTGTAGAAAAACCAACGGAATGGGTTTCGTCAATGGTAACAGTGGAAAAACCAAACAAGTTACGAATATGTATTGATCCTAGACATCTTAATGAAGCCATTCAGCGAGAACATTACCCTCTCTTAACAATAGAAGAAGTCGTATCAAGACTACCTGGAGCTAAAATTTTCTCCATATTCGATGCAGCCTCTGGATTTTGGCAGATACCTCTAGATGAAGATTCCAGTTATCTTACAACATTCAATACGCCTTTTGGCAGATACAAATTCAATCGTCTCCCATTTGGTATATCCTCAGCACCTGAAGTGTTCCAAAGAGCTATGCACCAGCTGTTTGACAGAATAGACGGTTGTGAAATTAAAATGATGATATCTTAGTATGGGGAACAACAGAGAAAGAGCATGATGAAAGAATTATCAATGTGCTGAATAGAGCTCGTGAAATCAATCTCAAATTAAAGAAAGAAAAAACAAAAGTTAAAGTAACAAATGTAGATTACATGGGACACAAAATAACGTCAGATGGTGTTCAATCCGATCCTGAAAAGATTAAAGCAATATTAAACATGCCAATTCCTAAAGATAAGAAAGATCTTCAAAGATTTCTTGGAATGGTTCAATATTTGGCCAAGTTTATTCCTTATCTTTCAGAAATGGCAAGTCCCCTTAGATATATGTTAAAGAAGGAAAATGATTGGTGCTGGTTAGATCAACATGAAATAGTGTATGACAGAATCAAGAAATCCTGTGGAGAGCAACCTGTATTGCAATTCTACGATGTATCAAAAGATGTGACATTGTCCGTAGATGCAAGTATGTCAGGTTTAGGAGCAGTTTGTCTTCAAAATGGCAAACCAGTTGCTTATGCATCGAGTGCTTTAACTGAATGTCAAAAGAAATATGCACAAATTGAAAAAGAGTTACTTGCAATTGTATTTGGATGTGAAAAATTTCATGATTACATCTATGGCAGAGATGTCAATGTTGAAACAGATCATAAGCCCTTAGAGCAGATTTTCAAGAAGCCCCTTCATCAATCTCCATTGAGACTCCAGAAAATGATGCTGAAACTTCAAAAGAACAGTTTGAAAGTCTCGTTTAAGAAAGGAGCAGAACTTTATCTCGCGCATGAGTTAAGTCGAGCGTATATCCAAGAAGAATCAGATGATCACTTAGAAGATTTTGAGATAAATGTTGTCTTGCCAGTAAGTGAAGAGAAAATGAACCAGTTGAAGGAAGAGACAAAGAAAGATAAAGTAATGAAAATGCTACGACAGTACGTAGAAAATGGATGGCCAGATCTACGCAGTAAAGTCGATTTGGTGTTTTGAATTACTGGGACTTTAGAGACACTCTTTCAGTACAAGATGACCTACTGTTTAAAGGAGATCGAGTAATAATTCCTGAGTCATTAAGAACTGATATGTTGAAAGCTATACATCAAGGACATTTTGGATCTGAATCATGCAAACGTAGGGCTCGAGAGTGTTTATATTGGCCAAAGATGAGCTTAGAAATAGAAGCAGAAGTTAGAAAGTGTGAAATCTGCAAAGCCCATAAGAGTCATCAACAAAAGGAGCCTCTACAATCCCATACTGTACCACATCGACCGTGGAGTAAAGTTGGAGCAGACCTGTTTGAATTGAATGGTAGAAGCTATTTTCTTATGGTAGATTACTACAGTGGATTCTTTGAAATTGATTACTTGTTAAATACAACATCAAAGACAGTTATCACAAAGATGAAATCTCAAATTGCGAGATACGGAATTTTCGAAGATCTTATAACAGATAATGGTCCACAGTTCAGGAGTAAAGAATTTCGTGCATTCTCGTTACAGTATGGATTTAAACATACAACAAGTTCACCAGGATATCCAAAAAGTAACGGCATGTCAGAACGTGCTGTGGAGACAGCAAAAGCAATCGTAAAGAAAGCAAAATATGATAACACCGATCCTTATTTAGGACCCCTTAATTATAGAAATACACCTAGAGATGAAATTGTTGGCAGTCCAGCTCAACGACTAATGGGACGAATAACTAGGACATTACTACCAATATCAGAGAAGTTACTTGAATTTCAACCATTAAACCCTGTTAATGTTCAAGAAAAATTGGAAATGTATCACAAGAAACAAAAAGAGTTTAATGATCGCATTGCAAAAACACTTCCACCATTAAAAGAAGGAGATAAGGTACGTGTAAAAACAGAAAAAGGCTTCCAAAAGAAAGGAATCGTGGAAAAATCGTTACTTGAGCCAAGATCGTATTTGGTTACGTCTGATGGTACCTACTATAGAAGGAATAGAAATCATTTATTAAAGATTAATGAAGAATCGAGAAGTCAAGATATAGATAAGTCTTATAGTGAGAACAATAGATCTTATAAAAATTGTAATGAAAGTACTAACAACAGTAATATAAGAACTCGGTATGGACGTCTAGTCAAAAAACCTAATAGATATTCTTATTAGATAAAAATAAGTTAAAAAACATTTATAGTGTGAAATTATTTAAAAAAACCCGAAGAAAAAGAGATGTGACATTGCATGCCTAATTATATTTATATGCTGTAATGACGTAGGTAATTACTTATTTATTATGCATGAGTAATGTATATAAGAACCTGTACTTATGTAAGTTTGGAGAATTAAATACAAGACTTATTACAGTCTTGATTTTTAATGATAAGGTTGGGCTGGTGTAAATAAATAAGATCTAATTCAATGTCTATGGTTTCGGATAAGGGGATATTAGTGAAAAAACTTTGGACATCAAAAGAAACGAAGTAGTTGTTGTTGTTGTGGTTTTGGGTGTGTAGTTCGTTACAAAAGTAAAAGAGTCTGATGTAGTGTAATCGTTGGGTATGACAGGGTTAAGTAGAGTGCATAAGCACTTGGACAGATTATAGTTATAAGATTTCGTAGACGAGACTATAGGTCGAATGGGAGGGGCATTATTGTTTTGTCTATGTTTATGAAGTTTGGGGAGACCATAAGAGCGTGCTGGTTGTGAGCCTCTAAGAGAAACTGAAGAGTATATTTGGTTGTCTATGGAGACTTGTTTTTAAGATTTCTAAAAAAGCGTTGTAGTCTGCCTTCTCTGAGTAGAGTGGGGTCATTATCTAATGGTTTGAATCTATATTTGTTGTCAATTATATTTAAGCATGCATTATCATATAACTTTCTGTCCATAATAACTACTTCATTTCCTTTGTCTGTTTGAGTAATATGATGTCCTTGTTGTTTTTAATGTTCTTCAAATACGGTGTTTTTGATGTCGGATCGTGAAGGACGGTACGACGAGGTGTAACTTTGTACGATGTGTGTGAGTTCGTTCTTGATGTGAATAAAGTCGTCATTGTTTTTCAGCTTGTTAGTTATGGTGTAATGGATTCGTTCGAATGTGGAGAGGATGTCGGCGTCGTTAAGTTGCGGAGGTTTAATAGAGAAATAGAGTCCATTCTCTAGTAGATCAAGTTCTTCAGGTTTGAATGTGTGCGAGGATAGATTAGTTACAGTTTCTTTATGTGGAAAGGGAAGTGTCTTGTTTCTAAGAAAAGTTTAAATTGCTGGCTGTTCACACAAACAGAAAATATGTTGGCTCTTTTGAGTCATTACGGAAGATAAATACAATATAAAGACATGTATACAATATAAGTGCCATGTTCCAGAAAAAATATTTAATTATATATTTTATTATGTGGTGTATTTGCTTAACCTGACCGTTAAATACAGTTTCAAAACAATGAAAATTTAAGTTCGGGACATAGGAAAAAGTGACCGCGTCCGCTTAATAGAGATGACCGTTTAATAAAGGTCACTTTAATAGTATTTATACTATAAAATTTTCGGGATTTTACAATATGACCGCTTAACACAAGGTGACCGCTTAATACGGTGCTGCTTAATACAGGTTTTACTTTATTATCATGTAAACTTCCTATATTGATTCAATTCGCTCTAAAGATGGTATAAAGTATGCCGAAACATGTTTGCTCTAAAGAAATTTATCGTGTATTTTAAAAGTTTCATTCTTCTCATTTTGTTTCACTATTAAACTTCATCGCTCAAATTACTGATTCACTTCTTCTCTCATTTATTTTCTTTCCTCACGTCCTTTCCATCTTTCCTATCTCGTGTCCTATACATTTCTTTTTTTCTCATTCATTTCCTTCCACATTCATTTCTTTCATTTTCGTTTTTATGTCACCCCAGTCAATATCATTTAAACAAAAAAAATCTAGACTCACCCCACTCTTATTTTCAACATGCCATTGAAAACATCTGGATTTGAAGATATGAACGAGGAAAGATAAATAATCATCTACGAACAATGATAATAACCATATTTTATTGCAACAACAAAATTCAAATAATCATTGAAAATATCAAATAACACAGAAATACAACAATTACCAACCTCCTGTTGTAAGACAGCCATACGTACATCGTATGGACTGCAATACTCGAACAAAATTTTCTAAATAATCGAAATAAAAAAAGTTGCAGCCAAGCACACACACAACAGTAGCATTATTAAATACAAGAATAAAACAGTAACAATAATAAATACAATACAACATTAACAAAGAAAGAAATATGAACTGACTTTTGAAATACGCTTGGGAATATAGCTAAGCCAACATAGGTAGAAATATGAATGAAACAAGCGATGTATCTTACTCATTTGAAATTATGCCCAATAATTATCCTGCATCTTGCAATAATGTCGAAAAGGCATGCAAAGACTTAGGTACAAGTCGCTTTTTCGCAAAAATACGCAGAATTAAGAAATTTAAAAATCTGCATTACATAAACTTTCTGCAAGAATTGATTGAGTTTGGTTTCAAAACTTGATGTTTTTACGTTTGACTCTTTGCCAGAAGAGAATGTCTAAAAATGCTTCTCTGGGCACTTGAAAGCAAAGTTTGGGTGTTTTGGAACTAAGCTTTGAAGGAGGGCCATGGAACTAAGCTTTGAAGATAAATCCTGATTTTGTTTCTCATTAAAATTTTGTCATCAAAATGTTTGAATCGTTTTTAAGTAAGTATCCCTCAACTGGCTCAGAATTATTTCGGCAACTAGAAACATGCCAAAAAAAGCTGAAACACAAATGGCAAAGATATATCGCTTGTATTAAAATATCGTGCAAATTTTTTCGTCGGCAACTGTATGTATATTTTAACAATAAAATTTACCTCAATGGCGCCTGGAGTAAGTGGTTCATAAACTACTCTCTCTTCATGACCAAACATACCTAATGTAACCTAAAAATAACAACACAAATAAAAAAATTCTCGCTAACACAATTTTGCCTTTCTCAAATTTAGATTGGGATCTTAAGGTCGCTCAAAAATAACTGATCATCATTATTAATACGCATAAATTAAAAGAATTTAGATGCATTAAGCACTGATTACTTGAGCAGTGTCGGGGATTTCGCGAAGCGATGAATGATTTTGGCAAATGAAAACAAGTCAATATTTATCATCTGATAAATCTTCTTGAGCAATTTTACGATACCCTGAGTTTATAAAGACGCAAAACATTTAAAAGAAAAAAACAATTTGGCCCAATTGAAGAATCACAACAGGAATAACTTGTCGTGCTGAATAATGATCAGTTGTCATTTTTACGTTTGAAGTTTTGACTCGTTTTACTGCATCGAAATCCTTTCGCGCATCACTGAATCGCTGTGAGTCGAGATCATGTAAACAGCTCATTAAAAATAAAGAAAAAAGTTCAACTGCATGCTCGATGTTGTATACATAGTTTTACATCTTCCGAGTTCAATACTCACACAAACTGATTTGCAGTTGCTGCAATCTCGGTGTGGTGGTAAGGTAGCTGCCCCCCCACACCTGAAGTGAAAACAACTAAACGTACTGAAGGTCAAGGAATAATGATGGGGTCTGAATAATTCTATGGGTAAACATTTTGGTCTACGTTGTTTTTATGTTCTTACTGTTGTCATTTATATCTTTGGTCGGACTACATTGGTTCAAATTATTATAGAATTTTGTTTAAAAATCACGGATTTTTTGATGTTTTATAAGTATTCTAATGCATTGCCTTGCCATGCATAATTTGGTACAGTCAAAATAATTTTGAAAATTTGTAAGACTTCGCTCCCCACCACCAAACTGAATTTCCGCGACTGCTAAACTGGCTTTAAATGATCCTGATCTATCCTCTCCCGTGATTTAATATGTCAATAATTGTTTCATTTTAATAACACAAACCACTTTTCCGTGAACCAAAATGGTTGAAATGGCAGGCGCTAAACTATCAACAATTTTCCTCAGCAAGCCACTGCAATGACGTATGACATTCCAGTCCTGTACACGTCCAGCTTTAATGTACAATTTATGAAGTCGAACATCTAAAGAATCTGAAATAGAGAAATCCGTCCATAAGTAGAAGAAGAACATAAAAATTCGAAAGGCATAAAAATATGCATCAAAATTTGGGAAGACGTTTTTCTTTGATATCAAATATTATAAACAAACAAAACAATAGGGATACAAACACAAAAATAGCAAATCGTGATGAAAATACTTAGAATATTCCTAAAAGCATTGCTCTTTTGATATTGGAATAGTAGACTACAGTAAATTATTCTTAACATTAGGTTATACACAAATGAAAAACATTTGTAAATGTAATTCATATATATTCACGGTGAAATAATTTTGTACAGAATTAAAAAAATTAGTTGCCTCGCTCAATTAAATTTTTCTGTAGTGCATATCTTACTACGCATGTGATTAGCATAGTGCATAACAGCCAGTAAATTGTTTTTTCCTGTTCAATACGAACAGTGACACAGCATAGTGACACCGTAGGGCCACTTCGTTAATTTTTTGTGTGCCATGCATATCTTATTACGCATGTGATTACCATAGTGACAGCTAGTCAATTGCACACGAAGTAGACCCGTGTATTCTATACTGTATATTCCTTATAATGTGAGGGTGAGCTGACTAACCGCAGGCAGTTATCTAGGTTATTTAATTTAAATATAAAACATCAATTAAAAGTTGCACAGCGAAGTGAGACTATCCACTGTAATTTTACTTTATTTCCCTCAAACTACAAAAAAAGCGGCCAATTAAAACAAATTATGATGATTCCGTACCCTCTCCAACGACACATTTCATTCCTTCTCTTTTTATGAGTAAATCAAGTATAAGTACTTCTTTCTCTATGGCATCGACATTTGTTAGCATCGACAAAAGTTGTTCGTTAGAATGGCTACGAATTTCATCTTTATCCAACGGTTTATACTCCTTCACTTCATCTTCTACAGAAGTCCAATCAGCAATATTTTGAACGGGAACTTCTGGCTCCGTCAAAGACTCTTCTTTGATTTGTTGAAATACATTGCTTTGATCATTTTTGCTGTAATGAAAACAAGATACTTCACATTTTACAAAGCAAGTTGCCTTCAAAGACAAAACATTTGTCGGCCTGGGACACATGAAGGCTTGAGTGCAGTTCAACGGTCACCAGAAGCCACTTTGCATTGACCATGATGACTGTGGGCACATATCCCACATATAGGAATAAATAGCGGGAAAATACTAATCAACAACAACATTTACAAAAAAATAAGTGAAAAAAAGCAACTTTATAGAAGTTACCTTTACAGTTAGAATGTGGGTGATGGTTATGTTTATGTTAATGGTTAGTGTTATGGTTATGTTAATGGTTAGTGTTATGGCTATGTTTATGGTTATGGTCATGCTTGTGGTTATATCTATGATTAAGGGTTATGGTTAGGGTTATGTTCATGGTTATGATTATGGTTATGGTTAGAGTCATGGTTAAAATCATGGTTAAACTTTCAAAATTTAAAGCTACTGTCTTCTTGTTAAACTGGCAGGGCTTTTTTGATTCTAAAAAGCCATCGGCACGTTTGTGCTGATCGGCAACATAAGGTGTCCGCTACCTCACACTCCGAAGAAAAGTTGCATGTAGAACTCAATATTTGAGGAAACAAACAAGATAATTTTCATACAGTTATATTTTAAATCAGCAAATTTATCATCCGACTATATTTACAAGTTATAAAGATTCGATTAATAAGCGTGTAGTTGCATCATTTGGAAGGAAATGTGGATGTGCAAAGGTGAATTTGTTGAGAAAGGATTAGTTAATAGTAAAGCTGTGAATTGAAGAGTGACAGTTCTTTGCTAGTTTTAAGCCCAATGTTTACATCTGGTTTGTAGTATCATTAACCACATATGACAGGAATGTCTAAAGAAATCATATGGGCGTACATTTCAGTTCAATACAGTAATTATTGGTTGCCCAATGAAATGACTGAGACAAGACACACTCCAGAAAATGTATAAACCAAAATAGAAAAACAATTATTACAAACCTCACATCGCTAATGTCTTTGAGAAAGTCCAAATGTTCAATACATGATCCAGACAGGAAAGTCTAAAAAATTGGTGAAGACTATTAAGCTGGTCAGTCTTCAATGTGCATATCAACGATAACCCCCAATCCCCCGAATAAAATCTGGTGCATTAACGCTCTCTATCGCTTTGGTTGTTTACTAGTTTTAGGCCATTAACAAAAATAAATTAGAAGAAAAAAGTTGATTTTCTTTGGACGCACAACGTTTCATAAATATAAGGACTATTATTTTAGTTGGTCTGAAAATGCCACTTTAAGATTGTATACTCTAACAAAGCAAGAAAACATGAATTAAAACAATATCTGAACCATATTTAGCTACATGCCAATACTTATAATCACAAAAATATCTAAAATAATTCCCTTAATAGGCTATAAATTAAGAAGTTATTGCGAACGAAAGAATAGCAGCAAAGGTTATAGTTACTTGAAGCAAAATTTATAAGAGCTGAAAATAATAGAAGAAAGAGAAGAGACAGAAAGTAGGTCATGTTCTATTACCTTTATAATAAGAGAAGAGCTACAGCTTATATTACATTCATATTGTTTTTAGTTGTTTCCTTCTGTGTAAACTGGAGACACAAGGATTTGATAAAGATTCAAACAATTATTGCCATTTGACTCGCAATTTGAATAAAAAACTGACTTGATACTGTAATAAACCCCAGTTTCCAACCTTCATGTTACGAAATTCAATCATCGTTACTGCGTGGGAAACTGACTTTTGTAGATTATTTCACTTCAGGTTTCCGTCTTTTGTATATAAAATACCTCTTTGCACGGCAATTAACGATCCCCGTCATTTCATTAAAGTTATTAATCAATTTAATTGACACACAAGTGTGTAAAGATAACAATGTTCTCAATGCATACCTCTTATGGTTTTCATTCTATATTAAAAACTGCATTAACCTAAAATGTATTCACTGCAGCGCCGGATGGAGTTTATTCAAATCATCAAACAGTACAATTCGGCTGAACACAAACTCGCAAAACAATCAAATCATGAAGAAATCGAGGTCGGCAGCAAACGATGCAGCCAGAACTTCATTGCAAGGGTAACTTTAACAAAGTCATAATCCTTGTTGTGTTTCGACCCTATCTTGAAAAATTCATGCATTCAAAATCTTTAAATCATTTACTTTCCAACTGTCTTATTCAGCCATCCATGAATATATTGGGGACTTCGAAAAGGGAAAAATAAACGAGTACTCATTGATTTTCCAATGTCGGTTCTCGTTGTAAATAATACCTGAAGTCTACCAAGTCTTATTCTTACACCATCACATTCACCTCTCTTCAATTTTGCCATGAGATCCAGAAATTCTTGAAAATGTGTTCCACTGTTTTGGAAAAATCACAAAACAAGTTTCAATTGTTGAGCAAAACGCTATTGAATTTAAAGGATAATTTGAAAATTTTTATTACACTTCTTGGTTATAGCTAAATAGATATGCAATTTTTCAGTGTAAAATATTACACTGCACAGAAAAGTAATGTTTACTTGTAACCAACTTTATCAGTATTGGGAAGCAGTACTATAGCCATTTATTGATTGATATGAAAAGAAAAATTTTCCCAGACAAACAAACAGTATTATATGAGCATTCCTGTTTAACAAACCATCATGCATATGTTATGAATTCAAGCTGTCAGGAATTTGTTAAATTCAGTTCAAATCGCTTTTTACGGTGTTGAAGTTTTCAAAAAATATAAACTTGTCAACAAATTTAGCTTATGAAACTCGGATAAAACATACCTAGAGTGATAGTCTCTTATGAGAAGACAAACAGTTGGTCTTCCTCTCATATTCCAATTGTTACGGATGAAAGACAGCTTCCGCTAAAATGCAAGCATATATAAAAAAAACTCCAATCAAACTTTAATAGGCGTATTCGACAAAATTGTTTTTTCGTTAAGAACTCCTTAGTTTCAATGACATGTTTTGTAATTGCTATTTACAGGTCAAAGATAGTGTTAAGATGTTGTATTTGTTTGTTGAGGTTAGGTTTACGCTTCTTTATATAAAGGGCTTCTTTGAGTGAAAGGGCGAAAGGAGTGTGAGCGGTGTCTAAGATACAGAAACAGGATTGTGTGTAATTGTTTTTGCAGTGTGGTGACGAGAGGAGGTGTCTGAATATATGTCAGTTTTTGTCCGTGGTTGTGTAATCCGTGTGGAAAGGTTGCGAGTGGTCTCCCCAATGTAACTGGAATTACATCCAACACAAGAAAATTCATAAACCACGTTGGATTTTAAAAGAGTAGGAATAGGATTTGCGATTTTGAAAGATGAAAAGAATAGTTTGATGTCTAAGTCTGTGCAGTAGCGTTTTATTAAGGGCCTGTTTATATGGAGTCGAGAGTTACCCTGCTGAGCGAGTTACTCGCCAAGCCGGGTAACTCGGCCCTTTATATAAAATGAATGCATCCCGGTGAATCGTTTATATGACACCATTGAGTTCTATAATAACTGGAGCGGCTAACTTTACTGGGGCGAGGTCGCCAAAAAAATGGCGGCCAACGGACGTATTTCCGCTGAAATGATCGCTTTGCAGAAAAATAATATTCTCGACCTCCCCCTGGTGTCTATAGTAAATTATAAAGAATTTTTCAAAAACAAACACGATATCACAGAATACGGATATCGTTAGCTCCATATTCTGTGACGATATCTTTTTTAGCATGTCTTTTATAATGGCAACAGTTCAATGGATGTCGTAGTTTCCACAAAAAGGAACATATCGCTTCTCACAGGTGAGATAGTTGCTTGTTTTGTTAGTCCGTCAACGATTGAAAAGCAATTATACATGCTCTTTAAAAGCCATAAAATACATATTAAAGATCGTATTTTTTAAGACTGACTTGAACGCCAATTATACTGATGTTTTCCTGTTTTTGTCAATAAAATTCTGCATACTTTTCTGTCATTTGTTAATGCATGAAATCGTAAATTTACCCATCTATTTGCAAAATAGTTTCCCTAAAGCAAAAAAGACCCTGCACACATTTTGCTCTGTGAAAAGTATCAAAAAGAAATGATCAGCCCCAACAGTACCCATGATTTGTTATGTTCTATTTGCTGACAACATGCAGGGAAGACCAAGGAGTAAAGATGACTGGAAGATGTTATTGACCAGGCAGAGTCTTAAAAAAATGATAATGCTGTAAAGATAATTGATTTATTGTCTGCCTTATCCAGAGTTATTTAATTTGATCATGGTCAAATTCTATGGATGGAGACAATGGATTCACTAATGATGCCTTGAATGCTTTGAAGTTAAAGTTCATGAACCAAAAAAAGATGGCAAGAAGGTTGTGTGTGTTTTGATGCTTAATTAAATGTCAATTCACATTATATAAAATGAGAAGGCCATAAAGTTTGTGTCTATGTAAACATTTGTACTGAGATTGATGATGACTCGATGCAGATGTGAAGCATCAAACTGTATAAGCCATTGGGTTTTATATAACTTAATGTTTAAATCATGTCATATCTTTATCAAAATATTTTAGTTGAGTGTTGTTTAAATGTTACTAATATCTAATGCACTATACTGAAGCATCAAAGATTCAGTGATGAAACCTTTAAAATTATTGTACTGTATATTTCTTATATATTTCTTATATTTCTTTAAGAAACAGTTTGAGCTTATTTACCTATTAGAGTACAGAATGGAGATTTATCATATGCATCATTACTGCTTTTTTAAATAAATGTTTTTCACTTTTCAAAGCTTTTCTACAAATATTTTGCTTCTTATTTCTTTTCATGAGATTGATGATATATGGTTAATATAATCCAATAACTTTATAATTTCTAAAAAGCTTTTAAGCTTCTAGCATAAAAGTACACTATAGGTATTTAATTCATTTGGTTTTATTGCCTTGCTATGACATATCCATATGCATTTCATCATTCTTGTATGAAGAAAACACCAAATGTGGATACTCAGAGAACAAAATGCACTACCAACTGCTTATGAAATTTATTATTGAGGTGAAAACTGTGTTAATCATTCAAATTGTGCACTTATATTGCAAATATAGGAAAAACAAAACAAAGTGAAAAAGAAGGGTAGAAGTATTAAAACTAAAAATGAATTATAAACACCATTGGAAGCATAAGTGTTTTGATGATTATTTGCATTTCGCCCAATTGATATATCAATACAACAAAATCAAAATTGGGCTACAACTTTACAAGTATTTGATGCAGTTGCACTTCCGAACATCACAAAAAGTTTACTTAAAGTAATTTCTATACAATATTGTGTGTTTTCATTTACCAAACCTATGCAGACTTGAGTCTTTTTGAAATTTAATACGAAACTCAATTACAGAAAATCCGTAAATATCCTGAGATTTAATATTTACTTTTTTAAAGAAACAAGTAAAAATCCTACAATTGTGGCGAAAAAAGCCATTGCCTATTCTACGAAAAGAAAGCAAAATAGCAATGATAACAAATAAGCTAAATTCTCTCCCGTGAGCCACTGTGGAGATGAGCTATGATATACTTTTTTGTATAGACTAAAGAGTTTAATCGATCAAACAAGTTTGACGCTGGTAAGAAAACGACGCATATCTGCATTCATAGATGTGTAGCCGACATATAGCTCTTTCGTCGATAGTAATAAATATATCCTCGTAGCAGCCGATAACTGGAAAGCTAGGTTGACTCGCTGTTACGAATTGTAGGTTTTTATCGTGATTTTCATCAAAAAATTGCTTGCCGAATCCCAAATACACAGATACATTTTCTTCACTCTTTCCTCAGGAGGGAGTGGGAAATTGTGAAATTTTCGGAAAAGCGGTCAATTTCGGTAAATCTCAGCGGCAGCGGACGAAATCCGCCATTTTTTTTTGGCGTCATCAGATATCTAAGGCCGCGCTTGAGATAGCCGCTCCAGTTATTATAGAACTCAATGTATGACACATCCGAGTAACTCGCCTTGCCGGGAACTCGGTTTGTGTAAGCGAGTTACCCGGCTAGGCGGGATGAATTTTTATAATATAAACGCATTTGCCGGGTAACTCGGCGAGGCAAGAAAATTGGCTCTGTTTGTACGCATGCCTACTAAGCCTTGTACTTGCAGCATGATTATAAAAAAACATACGCATAACATAATTTTTAATTTTATATTCACCCATTCCATTTTTGCTGCGAAACTGTGAGGCTTTTTAAAAACTCGCGCCTCTACTTAAAGTTCGCATTGGCAAACTTCATTTAAGACAAATGAACGGAAGTACTAGCCGAGTTACCCGGGGCCATATAAATAGATCACTTTTCAAACCCAGTTAAGCGAGTAACTCGATCAGCCGTGTAACTCGGCTCCATATAAACAGGCCCTAAGTTGTGTAATTTCCGTTCCGTGATTTCTGAAATGTAGCCAAAATAGTAGGGTAGTTTGAAGAAGTCTCGAGTTGGGTAGGTGTGGGTTCGTTTCTGGTGTTTATTTTGTTTGTGTTTTTGTCATGGTCATATCATTTAATATTTTTTTCTATGAAAGGCGAGGGAAAGGAGTTTCATTTCATATTGTCAATGAGAGCATTTAAATCACGATAATAGCCAGTCGACGTGTTGTTCATTTTCTATATGCGGTCCATGAGAGTTGTAATCAGTCCTGTCTTATACTTTTGTTAGGTGAAGCTAAAGAAATTAAGTAATAGGCCAGTGTAAGTTTTCTTATGAAAAGTAGATGTCGTGTATGTGTTCGTGGCTGTGTTTTTAGTAACGAGTATGTCTAAAAAAGGTAACTTGTTGTCGTGTTCTTTTTCTATGGTAAAGTCAATGTTCTTGTGTTGTAAATTTAAATAATTAAAAAATGTAGTGTAATCGTTGGGTATGACAGGGTTAAGTAGAGTGCATAAGTACTTGGAGAGATTAAATTTTATAACAATATGAAATGATCGAGTACTCTTCAAATTAAATTTGCAAGTCACAATTGCTTTTTTCAAATGTTGGGAATTAGTTACAGCTAATGGGGTTTCGATGCCGTTTCAAACAAACGCAAATGAAACAGCAGGTTTTTACCTGTGTTTTATCAAACGCTAAAGAATGTTCAATAATTGTATTTAATACCCAATGGTGGTTAAATGCAATTTTTATTTGAGCAAAACTATCTCATATTTCTGATAGTTATGAAATGAAAAACATACATCATTTGAAAGCTAAATTCATTGCTCTTCTTTTATTTTAACATAAAAAAACGCAAATCACAATATTTAATACGTGATTTCATACATAAGTTGGTCGCGCCACACTGTTTGATGGACACTTGTGCAGCTAATTATAGAATTTTTTCTTCCACTGCACTTAATGCAGGAAACGAAAATAAAAAATAAAAAAAAGTAATCAAGCACTATACATTGCAATACAATAAAAGATAAAAACTTTCAAGTTACCTGCATGAACAAACTAATAAATAAAAAGAGATGCAGATTAATAGCTCAATGTAACCTAATTCTTGTTTCAATTTCATTTGCAGTTAACTAAATACATTAGTTCAAGTTACCTGAAATTCGTCAATCAAAAGTGACATATCAAGTGACATATAAAAGTCCTTTTCATCCAAAATTATTGGATAACATATTATAGTACGGCCTAGGATTCTATAAATCTTAAAAGAACAATTATTTCAGTTACTTAAATTACATGAAATACAATAGAGATCTTCCACTAAGGTAAATACAAAATATAATTGGCAAATGTTGATTAACACATATCTTGTGATCGTGACTAAAACACCACACGAGTACATACGAGTACATACGAGTAACATACGAGTACATACGAGTACATACGAGTAACATACGAGTACATACGAGTAACATACAAGTACATACGAGTAACATACGAGTACATACGAGTGACATACGACTATTTTCTGGTCAACAAATGATAAACAACACAATTTCTTCAATACATTGATATTTGCGTTTATTTCTCCTTGTATTTGTGTGGACTTTGGGGCAACCATTCGATGGATTTAAGTACTGAAAAGGTATTTTACTTTCATACTACATTCATTTGTATGTTTTAGTTGAATTTGTTATAGATATTTTGTCGATGCAATTTGCCAGTGTTTGAGCGCTTTTTGACACACTTTCACCTAGGAAATACATATTTATGAAAGCGATTATACATTCATTTTGGTCTTTAAGATACTGATTTTTCAGTTAAAAGACTGAATTATATCAGCTAGAACTTTAAAAACATTAAAAGTAAGCTGAAATTGTACGCATAATATGATACGTAACACAGTGCAACTCTCTCTTTGATTCAAATATATATAATGTACATTTATTTCATATAGCACGTTTTGAAAGCATTATTTATACGTTGTTTATTTAATCGCTTTCATAAATATGTATTTCCTAGGTGAAAGTGTGTCAAAAAGCGCTCAAATACTGGCAAATTGCATCGACAAAATATCTATAACAAATTCAACTAAAACATACAAATGAATGTAGTATGAAAGTAAAATACCTTTTCAGTATTTAAATCCATCGAATGGTTGCCCCAAAGTCCACACAAATACAAGGAAAAATAAACGCAAATATCAATGTATTGAAGAAATTGTGTTGTTTATCATTTGTTGACCAGAAAATAGTCGTATGTCACTCGTATGTACTCGTATGTTACTCGTATGTACTTGTATGTTACTCGTATGTACTCGTATGTTACTCGTATGTACTCGTATGTTACTCGTATGTACTCGTATGTACTCGTGTGGTGTTTTAGTCACGATCAAGAACTTTCACGTAACAAAAAGATAATAGGTCGATTATAAGATCGATGACAACTTTGTGTAGAAAAAGTGACCACAAGAGTGAACAGTACCACTCGCGCATTTGTTAACATACGGTACGCGTATGAAACGCAATATTGATACGAAATGATACGAAAAACACACGCGTATGATACGAAAACATACGCGTATAATACGAAAAACATACGCGTATGATACGAGAACGATACGCGTATGATACGAGAACGATACGCGTATGATACGAGAATATTTTTCGTATCATATCTTATAAGTGTGCATAGTTTTAAGTAGTTCTTTAAAATTTTTAGCAATAATTTTGTTAATGTTATGTTATATCTACTACAGATAACATGTTTTACTAAAGGTAATAGTAAAGTTTCGAATGCAATTACGGATTGAAATACACGAAAGCGTTTTTAAAGTCAGCAGTGAAATAGCGGGAGTCCGTGTTAAGATATAAACATCAAACGAAAAGACATAAACAACATAGCATTGTATGCATAATTAAGTAGATATGACACATGTCAGATTAAGTGATATTCGTACTTGTTATTGTAAATATCGTTATTTGCTAATACTTAACTTCGTTATTAGTTCCACAATAAAATCTTAAATCCGTTAGATTGTGAATTTCAATTTCTTACAATTTCTGATGAAACAGTTTACCAAAAAATAACAAAACTTAAAAGCAATAAAGGTGCTGGATTAGAGAAAATATCTTCCAAATTTTTAAAAGATTCTGCTATTGTCCTCACTCCATACCTGACCCACATTTTTAATCTATCGTTAGATGAAGGAAAATATCCTAACGACTGGAAACAAGATAGAGTTTCTCCAATATTTAAATCCGGAAATAGAGAGGAGTGTAATAATTATAGACCATTTGCCTTTTATCTACTGTTTCCAAATATTTGAAAAAATTATTTTTGACCAATTAAATCATTACCTTTCTAAAAACAAGATTTTATCGAACTATCAGTCGGGCTTTAGGAAAGGATGTTCTACTTGTTCCTCCTTGTTGAGAACAACAAATGAATGGTTTTTTAACATGGACAAGGGGTTAATAAATGGCGTAGTTTTCTTAGATTTACAGAAGGCTTTTGATACCGTAGATCATAGTATCTTGATAGAAAAACTAGAACTTTATGGGATAAAAAATAATGCGCTTAGCTGGTTCATCTCATATCTAAGTAACAGAAAACAAGTATGTAAAGTAGGAATGTCTATTTCAAACAGTAAAAATATAACGAAGGTTGTACCACAAGGGTCAAATCTTGGTCCTATTCTTTTCTTACTTTATATACATGATTTGCCGAATTGTCTTAGTTCCTCCGTACCAGCACTTTTTGCAGATGATACAAATCTCACAGTTTGTGCCTTTACATCAAACGAGATTCAAAAAAATTTGGAAATTGAATTAAATAAAGTCCATATGTGGCTTTTAAAAAATAAGCTGACCTTAAATGTCAAAAAAACTGGGTATATGTTAATTGGAACAAGACAAAAGTTGTCCCAAGTTAGTGCTGATCCAATTTTATCGATAGGGACTGAGGCTATTAAACGTGTTTCGTCCACTAAGACACTTGGTGTAGTTGTGGATGAATGCATCACTTGGAAAAATCATATTGAAAATGTGGCCAAAAATGCTGCCAAGGCAATTGGCGTAATGCGTAGATGAAAAAAGTACTGGACAAAGACACACTTAAAGTCATGTATAATGCTTTTCTATTGCCACATTTTGCTTACTGTGCTTTGGTATGGAGCAACTGCTCCAATAGTTTACAGATTAAATTACAAAAACTTCAAAATAAAGCTGGCCGAATAATTACAGGTGATTTCTATAAATGTGCCTCAGACTCTGTAAGAGCTAAACTCTCTTGGCACACCTTAGAGGCAAGGAGAAAAGCGAAACTAGAGAATTTAATGATACAAATAATGAAAGGTAATTCTACAGATTATCTTCGACAGTTTTTCTCAATACGTAGGAATGAAATGTATGAATTACGAAATAACAATCACGTTCTCAACTTGCCAAAACCAAAAACAAATGCCTTAAAACGTAGCTTTGCATATTAAGGTGCAGAGGCTTGGAATAACATTGAAGATAAAAGAAAATATCCATTGCATGCATAAACTTTTTAAATATTATATTTTTATTTTTATATAGCTCATACTTTGTTTTTTTTTTTGTTTATTTTTTACCAAGATGTAGTATCCTTTTTAATTTTATTTTATCACACAGCTATCTGAAAATCAACTTTTATATTTTATATATGTAGTTGTACTTTAGGATCCAAGTTGAGATATACCGTGTTTAAATAAAAGTAAATAAATAACTAAATAAATAAATAAATATTTCACGTACAATCCGAATGCTATTGTCGAATCACGAATATTTTAGCAGTCCGAAGGATAAGTATTTACAGTGCAATTACACACTTCAACGATGCACTAACACATTTTCACAGTGCATTTTATACATAAACTGCACAGCAATCAACCTATCACTTTATATGCGTATAAAATAAAACGATACGCGTATGACACGAGAACGATACGCGTATGATACGAGAACGATACCGTATCATACGCATATCATACGCAAAATTATGTTAACAAATACGCGAGCGGTACTGTAGGTACCTTCAGATCGTCCAGAGTGATGGAAAAGTAGTTGGACGAGCGAAGCGAGGTTGCTTAGAAAGGGTTGATATACATACAACACTCTATAAGGGTTGATATACATACAAAGGAAGGTTAAGGACTGGCTCGGTAAAAAAGACTGACCACAAAACAGACTGCGCATTTCTTAGGTCACAAGCTAGTTAAGATTGGAAACAATAAATTGAGATGACTTTCTACAAAATTTTTAAAACATGTCAAACACAAAGTTGAATTTCAAACTGAATTTTTTGAAAAAAGAACTTTATTTGTGTACCTTACTGGTGGCTAAAGATCCAAATGGTCGAGTAGGTCTTCCACTAAGTGATAATTTGTTGTTTACACCAAGTTTTTTATAAACCTTTGGGAACAAGTATGCAGAACTTATAAAGTGTACAATAAGTTTTATACGAACAATACCTTTGAGCTTTTACCTTAACAAGTTCGCTTGGCGGCCAAATCTGCAATGGTTCCACTTGCTTTGGCGTTTGTGTGTCAATACCATATGTTGCTAGGGTTGCTTGCAAGCTGAGATTTAAAGAATAAATTAAATTAAAGAGGGAAACAGTTTATAATAAACTACTTTTCTGTGTAAGTTTACTAAACGCAAAACCTGGATACTATACATACGTATCTTTACCATTAACCATTTCACCAGAAGTGACGCATACCATACAATTATGTCAATTACATGTTTCTCTTTATGTTATTTTAGCTCTTCCAAACTCTTTGCAGACGTTGATATTTAAAACGACATGCTTGGCAATTAGACACCTAATCGTTAGTTTGCACGATTATAGCTGTATCTGGGAGAACTAATTACGTCTACAAAACTTAAATTCTTTCAAAAGATCTCCTAATGCTGATTAGAGATTATGGTAAAATAACATGAAAGACTAAATTGATTACAAGAAATTACATCTTACAAAAAAAAATTTTGACATGCCGAGTCTCAAATTCGAATAAATCGGGCAGTGACTAACCGTATAAATATTTTTGCAATATTCTACATAAATGCGGTTACAAAAACTTAAGTTCATGTAAACACTAAGTACATGCACCATAAGCTGGCAAGCCTTAAGGCATAAATACAAGTGTTGGTCAAGAAAAATAATTATCTTCTTGTAAGACTTACAGAAAAAATAGAGCACTGCTATTGTAGTTCAACCTACCTCCGATTTTCTGCTATCAAAGCAACCTGCACAACTAAATCAGACTCGATAACCTATCAAAAAATACGGCATTCTCACGTATATAAGTTAAAGCAACTCTAAAACGTCCAAATCTGATTTTTATTTTCTATATACTGAATGTACCAAACTCGACAATCTCAACATATTTTCCGTTGCAGCACTAAACTATTGTGCTTGAAAAAATATTTTTTATATTTTCCGCCCCAGCACTAATTGAATACAAAGCCAAGAATTAAAAATTTCAAACCTATTTAAAATACATTGAAACGACAACCTAATGGATGAAGAAAAACTTTTTGGTTTCACTTCTCAACAGAATACACTTTCTATTCGCTTTTATATGTGTAGTCTTATAGCCTAGTCAAAACATTTTTGCCTTTACATTATACCAAAGTTACACGACCACTACATTAATAAAAAAATAAAGAATAACACTACAACATAAATCCAGATTATAACCCTACCCTAAGATGACCTTACTTTGTAAACACTCTTCCCTAAACATTCAACAACTTCAAAAATCACCGATGTGAAATGGTTCAAGGGTGGGCGAAATTCCTAAAGGGGGGGGGGCATGGTGCAAGAATTTTTTTATTTTCCCCGGGGAGCACGAAATTCTTATGAAATTCATCCCAGGGGAGAATATCCAGGAACAGCAAAGACATTAACTGTATCGACTTCCCCTACCTTGAACGAAGAATATCGGTGGTTTATGTATCCGTACTGTCGAGCATTTGATTTTCCTTTGTGACGCTCCAATGGGTCAAGATGACTTATGTCAATCAAATCCTCTTCTACAAAACAACACAATACGATTTTAGTTAATTTAAGGATTAATCAATTCTAAAAAAAAGACAAAGCAAAGTATAACTCAACCAGGGAAAACAATAGGAAAGACAACGGAAAAAGTAAAAGTAAGCGTGAAAGTGCAAGCAACAGGAAAGAAAAACAAAACACAGTTGGCGACAGGCTCGCACTGCCCTACGTATGTGGCAATGTGCCACGACACACGAACCGCTACTGGGAAATTAAAGTGCCATTTTATCATACACATTTATAAAATATTAAACGTGGTGAGATTGAAGGAAATGCTTAATTCCCGAACTTGTTGAATAAGTGACTGTAAAAGAAAACAGTCAAAGAAGTCTAAAGCCAACATGCAATAAAATAACACATTGAAAACAATATTTAAAAGCAACAAATGGCACATGAACATGTGTAAATACTTTGAACCATGCAGCGTCAAAGTCATCAAGAATTTAAAAATTAAAGCACTTAACTATTTTACTCATTTAGCAACGGTTTAATATCTGCATGAATGTGTTCTGAAATGTATTTTGTAAAATTTTTGTTTATGAATATGTAAATCTTTTGATGTTTTATACTTCAGAATACAATAAAATCTTCGCGAGAAATACATTTTAATGACTCCACACAGTGCATTTTCAAATTTTCTGTGGATAATTTTCCAGAGGCGTCTAAAACTTGAATTGGCAGGGTCCTCAAATTGGAGCCAGTCCGAGCCTGAATGGAACAGGAATTAATAGCAACACATGGAAAAGGGAAGAAGAAACAAATGAAAACTATGATGCAAAAGTAAAATAAGAACATAAATGTCCACGTGTACAAACCCAATAATTTCACTATAATATATAACGCTTGATCCCAAAGACAGATAGACTCAAGAGGAGAAGATAACTTTTCTTGACTACCAGGATTCAATCTCTCTTGCTCCACAGAATCTCTTGGCACATAGTAATATTTGGGTACGACACAAATATCTGAAGAAAACGACAAATGAAAGTAAAGACCACAATATTATGGAGATAAACAATAAAGTACAGAAAAAGATACAGTAACATGTCTTGAACAAATTGCTCATGTTAATGCAAGCAACACAACATGCGAGAATTTGGCGGGAATGAAATTCCAGTGCATAGTTAGAGAGAACTGGTTTTTCAAGCCTTTGAACAATGAGAGCCGATGTTGTTCTTTTAACAGGCAATTTTACAAATTATAATTACGGCAATGACACTTACTGTAATTTAAGTCATCTTCATCCTCAAATATGTCATCTACGAAGAAAAAGACAAAAGGTAAGACTTATTTTTAAAGTTGCTGTATTTTTGTATAACTTCCGTATTATGTGTTTTTAATGCTGTTGTACAAATACTGCAACGATAGATATGAAGCCATTTAGAGAGCACGTTGTATAAATTCTGTTTAGTAATTTCAATAAAGGAGATGAGATTTTGAAGCTCTAATCTCTTCCGTAGAATTTAACCTATATATTGAACAACTTTATTATCTTTGATAAATTGTGTTATGATCTGTAGCAAAGCCAACCCGCGAGTTTTAGTTCTGCTATGTAAATTTGAGATCGTTATCAAGATCATGTCAAAAAGATTGTTTTTGAACTGAAAGGAGACATAAAAATTTACATAGTAGGACTAAATATCAAGTTGGCTATGCCACTAGTTAAGGCTTGGGTACGAGTTTTGATATGAGAAAAATATCTGAAGTTAAAACTTAATAAAGAACACAAAGTCTTCCCATCAAAGAATAATCAACCATGATATTATAAAGTACCTGTCTCGTCTTCCGACTGTAACGTTTTCTTTAGCATACTTGAATACTTCTCAATAGCATTTTTGTCATTACTGAACCAAGCTATGCAGCAAAAAATAATAATTATAATCAAAATATGAAGAAAATAATCAACATATTTTATAGAAATGAATATGTACCATTAAGTAACAGGTAAATGTATAAAAATGGAAATTCACATTCAATTCCTTCGAACAACTGAAAATAAAAATAGCTTAAATTTAAGGTTATACACATTGCAGCTTTCAAAGACGGTTGGGAGAAAAGATAAGTTGTATTGGACAAAATTGTAAGTCATAAGCAAATTAATAGAAGCCTTAATGAAATCAAAGAAAAAAAAAAATCAAAAAAAGATTCGCTGATGTACCTTGAGTTCAGAACTATAGTACGTTGCTCTGTTAGGGTCTTCAATCTCAGTCTTGTAGCCATCACGAAAAAATCTCTTGAGTCCATATCGACCCTAAAGGCAAAATACAGCACGTGACGGACAAATCGAAAAATTTCTAAAGAATATTTCATCTTTCTATACTTCGAAGCATCCCAAATTCGCACAACTTTTTTTCATTTTGAATATTTTATACAAACATAGAAAGGCGAAAACAACTATTGAAAAAATCAAACCATCAACAATTCAAACTAATACTTTTTTTGAATCAAAATTTTAGCAACACTCGTGCTTGCTCCGTTTTAATTTCTTGCGACTTAATTTTGAGCATCTTATAGAGGAATCATTTGCGCAAGGATATTTTTTTGTTCCGTTTTTTAATAAATTACATGATGCAGGGAAACTTCTATCATGACACAGTTAAAGTAAAGTACGCGATTAGCTAAGAGCCATTACCATTAAATTTTCAACGATTGTTTTCGTCGTCGTTTCTTTCAATTTGTCGTCATCTACAGCAAAAGTTGGATAACCGACAATGCAGAGTAATGCAGCATCTGTTTCCTATACAGCAAATCAGAGGACACATTTAGGAAAGAAATAATACGACAATCAGTGAGTTTTTTTTACCTTAGAACTTGATTCTCTAGGCAATAATGTTGTAAGAATTGTGCAGTTTCTATTGTAAGCATCCGGATCGACGTAAATAACAGACGATGATGTCCCCTGAAACATCAAACGACAACACTTTAAACAATGATTGAAAGAACAGAACAGAAAAAACTTTTAAGACCAAATGCTAATGTGTTTAGGAGGATTTTAAGCGTTACACGCTGTCAGTGTTTTCCATAAATTTAAGTAATGAGAGAAGATTAAGGTTTAATAGAATTGTATCGATATTAGGCTGCACACATGTACGCAATGTGTACTTATTTTCGGTGAATAACGATAATTTTGAGTTTAAAACCGATAATTTTGAGTTTAAAACTCATGCTTCACTGAATGATCAGTGAGACCATATATGCAAAAAAATTTACGAGATTTGGTTTGATTAGCTTAGACTCTCCCACTTGCTTTATATATGTAGTTACGTACCAATTTCAGAACAGGAGGAGTGTTTAAGCTTATCGGAAAGAATCTGGTAAAAAATTGCATATATAACAGCGTCGCAGTTGCCAACAAATAAGACGTTAAGATATTCAAATGTAAAATAAACAAAAATTGAATTAAAATAAACTTGCATTAAGCTAGAGTCATTCGCTTTATAATAACTATGTCAACAACAACAGAAAACTATACTGGCAGCCCTTTTCTTTATGAGTAGCAACTGGTATGATTCTACTAAACAATTAGATTACTTGCTGGTCATTTTGATGATGTAGTTCACCTCATACAATTCCACGATATTACCTCAGAGAAATCTCGAGCTCGAAGTAAATATTTTAATTAATTAACGCACCTGGCTTCCAAAAAGATTAAACCCATTCAACGATTCCAACGCAGCTTTCGCCATTCCAATGGAACTATATATTATAAAAAACAAATTCTCTGCGATAATGTTACGAACAGCTATGATGTTACATTATATGTAACATAGGCTACGCAAACATGTGAATTTGTGAATGGTGAATTTGTTTACATAGACATCGGAACTTAATTTTCAAACGCTTTTCATCCGACATAACTATTTATGTCTTAAAAACTTAAATAAACCTAACCCAAACCTTAACCCTGACCCTAACCCTAACCCTAGCCAAGATTATTGTTATACTCGTATCCGTGATATAGTCTTCGTTCACTCTGCTGTTACCACGAGGCTACGCAAACATCGACAAAAGCCAAACGAAATTTAATTTTATAAAATAGGCAACATATATACGCCAAAATTAAAAACTAGATGTGGGATGAATGTCCACGGCGATCAAAAGAAACTGCTCGTGTTTGAAATAAGCCAACACATAGATTGGCATGATTCAGGAATAATTAAACCCCAGAGAGTCGTAAACGCAATTGAAATGAGTTTCATGCTTGAAACTTGCAATGAACAGTTGATGTCTACACAGTAAGACTAATGTGAAAGCTGAACTCTTTCGCGTAGATGAATTGTTTTTTATATCAAAATACTACCTTGACCATGTTGGAGATTATAAATATGAAAAGGTAGTAACTCAATAAAACAAGTAACCTTTTATAGCGCATTATTCTCCATAATGTTGGTAAAAGCATTACCATGGCAAGCTGAATTGCTGATAAGTTCTGATCAAATGCCACTTCATATTTACAAACAGAAAAACCCTTGTGGGAAATACGTCATAAAAGAAAAAACACACTCTAAAAAACATCATCGTGTAAACTCAAGATTCGAGTTAAAAAAGCAAGAGACAAGATTTAAAGCAATATTTCTACTTAATTTCAAAGTCCTTATAAAGCTAGCATGCGTGATGTTAAATAGTTGTTAAAAGGAAATGACGTAAGCAATGAAAAGAAAGAAAGGAGAAGAAAGGAGTGTTACTGTATAGAATTACATCAATGAAATTAAGAAAAAAATAGCAAGATTTTTAGAAGCCTTCGGTCCAAAATTTAGCTGAGCTTTTTGAAACGTATATAAATCGCCTCAAGGAAAAGCAAAACATTAGAATTGTTATGATGTAGACAGTGTAAAGTGCTAGTGTTATTAAGAATGTGATCATGGATGGAAAAAAAATGAGTTGCAGTTATGTCATTCATTTTTTCATACAATTTGAAAATGTCAGTTATGTGTTATGCGTCATGGCAGTTTGTTAGATGGCCATGAATGGCGTTTAGTTGGGGTCAGATTTTGCGAGTTCATTAAGACCAGTAAGAAGGGTTCTAGAGTAAATGGTTTGAACCCGGGAGTATCGTTACATGTTTGTAGATGTAGATCGTCCAGGTTAGTATAGTCCTGAGAAGGACTGTTTTTGTTGTTGTTGAGTGACGTTTCGACAACCTTAGCGGTAGTTATCTTCAGAGTCAAATGATAACTCGAAACGTCATTCAACAACATCAAAAACAGTACTTCTCAGGACTATACTAACCTGGACGATCTACATCTACAAACAAGAAGGGTTCTGTTAGTTTTACCTATGTATGACTTAAAACATATGAAAAAACACCAATGTACACCTTGCCCCACACATTTCGAAATTTTGAACTGCATGTAAAAATTCCTAAAATTCCTGTTTCATTCCAATAAAATGGTATTGAACTAACCTGGAATGCAATTCTCTGTGTCCATTGTTATCAAGACATCCTCTTTCCCAAATACCATAGTCTGGCGTACGATACGCACGTTCAATGTAGTAAACCAAATTTTGAATAAACGACACTTCGTCAAGAGTATAGATAATCTAAGAGATAAATAGTAACAGGATAAAGTTCTGGAAACTATTTAAAGAATAAAGTAGCTAACTATACAGGATATAAAGGATATTGCTATATACCTTAAAGGATACAGTTAATAAAGGATATAGTTATATTCTATAAAGGATATGGTTACATTCTATAAAGAATACAGTTAATTACATCAAGGATACGCTTACTATTTAAAGCCTGTCTCAAAGACGTAGGTTGAGCTTAACCTAGGTTAAAACTGGGTTAGTAGTATTTACACGCAAAAAATAAACCTGCGTTAAACCCGGATTAGTTTATGTCGTGTAAATAGGGCTTTAGAGTTAAGAAGTTCAGTTAAATTCCCACGAGCAAGTGAGCCTTGTGCTAGGAAAAAATTGTACATTAAAGTACGTTAACACTGCATTTTAATTCATGGAATATGTCATAAAAAAATTTACGAAAAATATTTAGCTTACTGTTAACCCAGAGGCAATCATCTGGGCAAGAAGCAATAAGTACAAGGCAACTGCGTCAATCTATACAAGAAGTGAGAATATTTAGTTAAGACGATGGGACTGAAATTTCGCTAAACAACGCATCGCACTTCAATGAGTAACAAAAACAGGTGTCTTATAAATTAGTAAAGGTATTGGCTAAAAAGGAGTTGAACATGAGAACACTTCCGATAATTCCTTATGAGGACACTAGACAACAAGGAAAAGTCAATTGCATTCAATTTTCAACACTAGACTTCTAATATTATAATGACACCAGACTGTATATAAGACTCAATTTTTTAAACTGACTCGACACCGACGAATGCAGCCATGAATTAAAAGATCACACAAAGTTTCAGTAAAAACTGTTGAGTGATTGGGAAAACACTGTGTATAGCTACCAGAAAATTCTAAAAATTATTATAATGATGAAACAGAAATATAATGGAAAGTGGCATCATCGTCAACGAAAGCAGCTGGCTGTGACAAAAACAATGGAACATTGCTGACAAATCATCGCAATGATAATTGACTCCAGATACATGCTGATCTTCAGCAATGTAGTTAATATTAATAAAAATGTTCTAAAATGTGCTCTTTAGTCTTGTAACGGAATTTGATTAATGTTTTTTAACAGTAGGGGTAATTTAAGAAAGATGTAGCTAGTCCTCTCTTAAAGATAAGGTGCCGTAGTTGTACTTAATGAATGTTTAGTAGTGGAAGATGTTACCAGTCCTGCCTCAAAAGTAAAGTGCAGTAGTGGTACTTAATGAATGTTTCGAATGAAGATCTGTCCAGTACTCCCTTAAAGGTAATGTGCTTCTGGTGTTAGTGGCACTTAATAAATTTCTAGTACCTGAAGATGTGGCCAGTCCTTCCTCAAAGGTAACGTGCTTCCAGTGTAGATGTTAAACATAGAATGAAGTGAATTGTGAGGCTGCTGATTATGCTTGAACTTCTCTACCTGTAATTATAAAATAAACTCTACATAAAACTTGAAACACACAAAAAAAACATGGAATGAAAATGGCTCCCACCGCCCATTCTTTGTTTTTTGTAATATCAATAGGAAAATTTTCTTTGGAAGTACTGTCGCCAGATAGTTAAATGCGAAGGGAGGGTGATTATTTATGTATTTAGTTGTGCCTGACTGTGAATTGGCTTTCAGAAGAAATCATCCACACACAACAGAATGAATATATATGAATATCATCCCTCACCCCAAATACGTAACAATCTACCAACGCCCAAGATTTTTTTGGCAGATTCATTAGAGTTTGTGAAGGTTGCCCTCACAGCATTGCTAAGTATTTAAAAAACTCATCTTTAATAAACTTTAGATCAAAATTAACAACATCCACTTTTGGTTGGGTCACCAATTGCCATAAATGAAAGTATTTACTGAAAAAAATACACGCCTAAATCCCTAATAAATGGATGGATGGATGGATGGATGGATAGATGGATGCACATGTTTGCTCTACAAAGTTGAGCAACGTTTAGTGAACATGTTGAAGACATTTGCACTGGCTTACAAAAGAAAAAAAGTTGGGATGAAAACAAAGTTCCCAAAAGAAAAATTTTACACATGTCATTTTCTTCTCACCTTTTCTGCCTGCCGCATGTAGCAGAAAAGAATTCCTCTCATACATTTAACAGCACTTTGTTCTAGTTCATAATTCCTTCCTTGGTCATCATCGACTTGCCTACAAAGGAAATAAATATAAAATATGTTTTGCCATGAAATTAACATTCTACGGGATGTCTCTCCCCAAGAAAAATGAAAGCATTAGCTGTCACTTATTCTTTCAATCAGAACAGCTAAGACAAAATGCAATGCACTGGTGCCTGGAATTTAACAGCTTACTTGCCATTAAGCATGGTCTTCATTTGCAACATACAGGTAAGCAGAAGGACAAATACAAATGCATGTGCTTGTGTTTATTTCGTTAATAAAAACTAGGTTTTAAAGAAAAATTGACATAATTTTTTAACAAATCTGACATATTGTTACGAGTTGTTCAAGGTGCATATGTATTTTAAACAAACAAAATAAACAGGAATCAACAAACAAAGCAATAAAAAATTGACAACCAAATGGATGCCATTCTTTGTCAACATCCCCACCTGTAAGCTAAAGCCAAAGCCCACAACACCTGAGCACAATAAACATTGTCTCTAACATGTCCTTCATTTGGCTTATTGCCAAAAGGGTGTAAAGGAAATAGACCAAGGCTTCCACTCTGGTGACGCAAAATCCTTTGTTTCACTGAAAAATTTTGAAACTTTGACAGGTAAATAATTTTGGAAGTAAGGTATTATTTCTTTTAACAAAAATGAAAACACAAATCATTCTACAAAGTGGATAGTAGTGTGGTGCGCAGACCAGCAGGAAATACTTCTTTCTTTTACCATAAATTTCTTGTTGTGAGTATAAAATATTTTGAAATGTTCCTGACATTTTTCAATAATGATAATTATTGAATCAGATTTCGTCCAATTTTTCTATAATTGCTGATTTCTAGCTACTCTCTCCATCCCATTGGAGACAAAGTCCACAATGCGTGGCAAAATCTATTTGTCAACCACCCCTTAATGACACAGAGAGTCTCCCCTCTCGACTATGAAATATTTTGTTCAATGAATTTTTTATTTCCTCTAAATCTAAATGTCAAGTGTTCAGAAGTTAGAGATTAATTAGTTTCGGCAGTCATATGAGCAATACTGTACAGTAAACAAATTATTTTACCAAATACTTACTCACCAATATTATAAAATAAATTAAGCTTTCTCTTTCTTTCACTTGCTTCCATTTACGGTGATTATTAATCACTTCCTGTCTTCATTCTTCAAAATGAAGCTTTATTACAAAAAGTTCATCAAAAATTCCGAATATTGCTCGAACTGCACATGAATTACTTCGAGGTAAATAATGTTAAAGCGCTCATTCTTTCATTTCTAGGCACTTTGAAGGTTTGAAATTTTGGTTATTCGATTCGCATGCAAAAATACCGACCATTTATCTTGAGCCTACGATTAATTTAAGTTGAAAGATGGCGATACTTCATGAGCTACATTAATAAAAATTTATTAGCACGGACAGATTAGAATTTTGGATGTCAACACTGAACAGCCAAATAAAAATGAATAGCTTGTTTTTTGTTTTGATTGCTTCCACTTTAGATATTCCTCTACATTAAGAAAAATTACAAAAAGCTCATAAAAATCCAAATCTTGCACTAAATGACTCGCAAACCGTTTGTTCGGAGTAAATAATAGCAGGGCGTACCGAAGAGGGGTATTGGGGGATGCTGCACCACCCAAGTTTATTCCATTACGCAATAATTGGGAAATTGGATCGTATTCGATTTGTCTTTGTATTTTACACACAAAAGATTACGATTTGGATGAGTGGAGAAAATTACATTTGTTGATTTCGCTGTGTGCCGTCTTGTTTAGCCTGTTTCTCATATAGTTATATTAGAGTAGTGTCAGGTGTTTGTAGGCAGAGCTCTATATCCAAACGAGCCTCTATTGTGAAGCCATTATGAAAATAGTAATTTTAAGGAATCGCTTAATCTCTTCACCATACAAGTACCTAACTTTCGTGTATGGCTGCTGATACTGAACTTTTTGTTTTCAAAAAGGCAATCAAGTCATTTGCAGAAGAGGCTGAAAAGATGCGTCATGTTTTACAACTGACAAATCGTATTTATCGACTAGTTTTAATTGCTCCAGGTATTTTTTGAACAAAATGAACGAACATTCAGTAAAAGTCAGTAATTTATAGCGATTTTATGATTTTCGCGCAATTTAATGACTTTTAAAATTGAAAAAAGCTCACTGGTGAATTTGAATTTGACAACGCGGTAGAGAAGTGTGCTAAATAATGTGGTCCACGTGCATAGTTTAATGAAGTTTTATTAACGATTAATATAACGTGTTATAATTAAACCAATTATGTTTTTCCACATTCAAAATAACTGAGTATTGATCCTTATTATGACAAACAGAATTAAAAAATTACTATAATGAACAGTTTTTTTTGTGGCCGGTGGAATTTTCGGATTTTTAACTTTCATTTAGAAAATTTTGATGGGCTCCTCCCCCTCACCTGTCGGAGTCTCGGTATAGCCCTGTTAATAATAGCAGATTTTGATGTATCATGCTGTGATTTAATGTTGGCTGGGAAAATTTTGCTTTGTGTAAAGTAGTTTTTACTAAAACACGCGTGTTACTCAGTTTGTCAAAGTTAACTGAAAGACAAGAGGTATAGTCTTAAGTGCAATTACATGCATTAGTAAGTTTTTCAAAGACTGAAAGGACACATATTTGCAAGTGCAGTGCAAAGTTCAAATTTTAACAGACTGCACAGCAATAAATGCAATCATCCAATGATAATCAGTCAAGAAATATCTCGAAGGAAATGTAAAAAACAAATTCAAATTCAATTTAAAAAAAAAGCATTTCATATGGTAATCTCGCGTTGAAATTTTAAAGCATGATATAGCGATGAGGTCATTGTATGCATCAGCATAGAACATGACATGTCAACGTGTACCAGTATATGCAACAGATGCCAGCTCTACCATCGCCCACAATTCACACCAAGATACGGTGCAGCACTTTCAATTGTCAATACATTAATTCTCTTCACTCTCTACACTAGCACGTAAAATTGCGGAATTTGTTCTTCAAACCGGGTCTTTGGAAGCCGTGGGTGTCTGGGTGTCGTCACACCTATAACGTTAGGAGTATTGGTTTCTTTTATAGGAGAAACACCCAAAAGTTTAGTTTCGCATCAGAACGTTTATGATACATTGAAAGCTACAATTTAGCAGATTAGAAAATTTTCAAAATAATGAAAGTTCGCCATGAGCAGGGAATTTCTAAATGGCTTAATCATTGACGAAATATATGTCTTTTCAATGTAAAGAAACAAAACAAATGGATTATGGAGGATTTTGTTGAAATGTTTGCTGGAAAAAGAAAAGAAACTGATTAAAAATAGGGAATATGAAATAGTTTCATCACTTTTCTAATTTTCTTGGATTATTGCATCACAAACATGGAAGACCCCCAACAAGTGAACGCTTTCAAAACCCATGCTTGAAAGAATACAACAAAACAATACAAACTTGAAACAAGACACTGACTCATTTTTGAGGCTTCAGACGGGAATTTGAAATGAAAGCGCTGACCTTGGTAATTTCTACAATCTCTACGTGGTAAAAATAGATTTTCAGTAAAAAGTGTGTTGATTTCCGACGTTCAATATGCGCCAATGTTTGAATTGCTAAAGGGAATCATGAAGTTATGGTTCAGATAATCTCACCCAGAAAGTTTGCCAACGATTAAAAAGCACACACAGCACTATAGAGCTGTTTAATTGAGAAATGAGATTAATTTGATATATGAGCAAAGAGCAGCTTCAGTGAAAAAAATGTCTTGTGGAAGAGAAGTTGTGAATACTGTATATTTGGAAAATCTTCCCACGCGTAGATGTAAAAAGCAATTCTTTTACTTATTGCAAAAGACTTGGTACCTTTAAAAAAGTAGAAATATCTTTGATGAAACTGCAAATTTTGCAAAAAATACTTTTTTAATAGTTAAACTGCGTTTTTATTTAAGTTTGAGTAAAAAAACCTGTAGAGCACAAAGCTACTTGTCAACAATGCCCAAATATCATTACAACAATTTTCTGCTGCGCAGTAGCTTTTATGGAGATTACGTCAGAGCATAAACAGCATTGGAATTGTTTTCAAACACAAAAAATATTGCAAAATCTATCGAATTATTTGATGTTTTCTTTATTTATGTCTTTGATATCATCATTACAGAGAAGCTAAGCGCTACAAGTACAAATAGGGCAGCAAGGTGGACGCTGGATGAATTTGACAGCCTTGAACATTTTAAAGTCGCTGTACTCTTTGAGGTTACCCTTGATAAGCGGGCCGCAATTTTTTCCAACAAGTTGAATCTCGAAATTTGTCAAGACTCTGTCCCAGATGTTGACTTTTGTTATCATTCCTTTAAACGAATGTTTCTTTTGGAATCCGAAAGTTGGTCCTGAGTCTTGATCTTGTCCAATCCATCAAGTACCACGACGCTTTATTATTTCACCTCTTCGGACGTTGGAAATCGATATCATCAAATTGCCGTTCTTTTGAACTGTGAGAACACCAGTAAACGATTTCCACGTGACGCACAGATGATGAAGTTTACCATCAGCAAGTTTTACGCCAGTTCTAATTAATTCAATTTTCAAACATTTTTGGACAACTAAAACTTTCGTGCAAATAGTTGGGCACATCTTAAAAGGTTAATCAGCTTAACTTAGGGTTGACTTTATGGATTTAAGTGAAAAGGGTCTCTTTAGTATCATTGCCAAAGCCTTGTACAGAAAATTAGTTAACTACAAATGGCGAATTACTTTTTGTTTGTAGAGGCATTAAGCCATACAATGTAGTATTTGACAGTTAGCTAAATCCAAGAAATGTCTACAAAAAGTATTCTGTTGATGAAGGCCTTAAATATGCAATAGTCAAATATTCTGTTCATGAAGATTTTAAAAAGCAGCTATGTAGGTAAGAACAGCTATTTAGGCTGTGAAGTTGTTTGACTTGATAATTTTTCTGCAGAAAAAGTACTTCGTCTACTCGCACCTGTAAACATCATTTTCTGCATACAAAGTAAGATCGGGATGGATTTCCAGCGTGAAACTGTTTCCATATGGTGCACCTTTCACTTTGTAGGACAGAAGTGTGGGATAAAAAGTGTGTGCGTAACTGGCTGGGGTGGACATCCATAAGCATGCTGTAAGAGCATGCAATCCTTTTGGAGATCCTTTAGACACTGCATATTGAGTGGTTTCAAAGCCGTCCAAGTTCATGCCACGGGCGCCTGTGAAAATATAATTCTTTATCTATGAAAGAGCAGCGAAATTTTGGATGCAAGTGAGATTGCTAACAAACAATTGCGTCAGAGTTTTTAAAATTTTGAATTACACGTTGGTGCAGTTTCAACGCATGTGCCCACATGTTTTTATCCTCGTTTTCACATTATACGAAGATTTCAATATTATGTCCTATTCTTTAAACATGTCATGGAAAGTGGTGCTCGAGTGATATAATATAAGCTGTAATTATATTGTAAATGTACAATTGTATAGTTAATCTAAGTAAGTTAACCTTTTTTTAATTTAGCCTGATGAAAAATAAAAAAATCAATAAAATTTAACAAAGTTGGTGCCCCATTTGAAATTGTAAAAGCAACACATACATTGAGCAATGTTCAGAAATTAAAAACCAGCAATATTCAAATGATAATAGGGAAGAAAATAGTTTCATTAATAATCTACTCCCTTTGTGATCATCAACAGAGTAAGTCGAACTTGTTGTGTTGTACAATTATACTTTGTAATATGAAAGGAAACTCAAAGTATTCAATCATCAACCAACATTTCCCAAGTAGAAATGATATTTTGCATCCTGCCTCTGAATTAAGATACAGTAGATGCACATATTACAACTTTGTTGCTTCTAGTATTTTAATATTAGAGGACAAAGTGATATTTTCTTTGCTACCAACTTTGTGTTGACAAAGCGATCGCTTCCTTTGCTTAACTTTAGTTAATCTAATTGAGCGCACTTCTCTCAAAAAAGTAACTAACTCTAAATCTTCCACGTATTAAAAAAAACTCACTTACATTTGCTAAGCTCTGCAACGCTTTGACTTGCCAACGCAAAAAGCATAAAAACGGTTACTACAATCGCCATCGATTTTCTCTGCGTGTTTGCTAATCTAAACGCAACAATGATTCATCTAGTAAGTCACTTTGGAATCTTTAGAGGAGAAAATGTGTTTTGATATTCACATTAATATTTACGAATATTTGTGTCTTCAATTTTTTTTTTTGAAAAAATCTAGCTACTAGGTATTGCCATTGCCGTTTATACCAACATTGAAAAACACTCACTTTCTATTACTCCCATACATATTTTTTCTAGATAGACAAAATTTTAATTCTAATTCTAATTTTATTTCTCATTCTAATTTTAGTTTCAAATATGCCTAACATTCTAATAGACCTATTAGAGTCATTATCATGACAATAAATCATTTACAAACTATAAAACTGTACTGAAAGAAATTCCTTGAAATGAACTTATCAAAATTTTCCACTCTTTTGATGTGAACAAGTCGATAGCTGCGCTTCGACTAAAATTTTATCTTCCAAACAAGCAGATTAATAGCCAACGCTATGGGAGGTGACGTAAAGATGCATGTCCTTAATTTTTTTCAATGGTACCCTGAAGTTGTTACGGCGCTTGAACTTTCATGAATGATGATGTAAGATCTTTGGTATTCGTTGGATTTCACAATATTTCCCACGTACCAGTGTGCACCATCCTCATTAAGGAGCAACAAGAGGCATGTTCTGCTTGTTATGTCTATAGATAATACAACCGTCTGACTAAACAAAAACAACATCAGTTGAGCTGTCTGTGGCGGAGGGAGCTCGTTAATTTGGGGAGAGCACTTTTTCATATATTTATATTCTGCCGCATTAACTTCCTTGTTAAAAATCCATTGTTTTCAAGGGATTGAAAATGCATATATGAATTTGTGCTTCCTGAATTAACGAGTTTACTACGCCACTGCAGTTAAGCAACAAAAAGTCAGAATTGATAGTTCCTGTTGTGGCTAATTGCTTTGAATAATCAAACTTTATTTACTTGAATATTCCTGAGACTCAACGACCCATTTTGCCAAAACCAGAAATCTAGTGAATCACGTGTGAAATGATCTAAAACTGTCTGAAGAACGAGTGCACATGAATTTACTTATATAATTGCCCTAGAACCCAATCTACTAGATATCTGACTCCACCAAAATTCTATAGTTACAAAATTCTATGGTAAAACACCTCTCAAGATGGCGTCCTTCTCTCACTTGAACACGGTATTAAAAAGTCTACGGAATTGGGTTCTAAATCATTAACTTACTTTTACTCAGCCATTAAATGGTCTAACAGCAATTATTTTGAAGGTTTATGAAACAGAACATACACATTTGAAAAACTGCGTAGCTGTTGTAACTTGCCTGATCACTATGCTAATCCCACTTGTGCTGATGTTAAAAGTCGATTTCCCAAAGGCAGAAAAGCTTTTGTTCTTGTAACTAAGAACGCGCCCTTCCAAATTGCTCATCTTTGATATCAGCAAAAGTTTGGAATTTGCATGATTCAGCAATAATTGATCCCAAAACGGGCATACGCAGTTGAAAACAACAAATACGAATTATGGCTACTTTTGCAAGTTTCAAGCTTGAAATTCATTTTAACTGCGTTTACGTTTGGAGATCAATTATTTCTGAATCATGCAAATTCTAAACATCAGCTGATTTCACATATGAGCAGTTTTTCGAGAATACATGTTCACGATAGGCCAGTGGACTAACTATCTTGGCTCGAATAAAATTGAATAAAATACGGGAGGCGATTATCTATTCATAAGTAATTCATACATGTGCAAGTTATTATAAGATTATAAAACAAATGTACAAATTACTTGTCAAACTTCAATTTTACTTACTGGCAAAACGTAATTTTAAAAGAGTGGCTATAAGTTTCACAAATATCCCAATAAAATTTGTAACATACAGTTATAAGTTATAGACTATATATTAAAAATATAATTCTTCAGCTAGATGACTTTAAGCATTGAAAAAAGGTAAAAAATATTCTATTGAGTAATCACAGGGGGTTGCCTTGCGCACATTTTAAAGTCATGACACAAAATATGGCTGACTTGTTTAAAGGTTACTTTCAAGGTTACGGCTGAAATTTTTTCAATGCTTGTTCACACCGTTAAATCCTCGACATTCAATAATTCACACACACTACATCCGTAATTCGCGACAATCGGCTAAACAATGGGGTTTGGCAAAAACCATACAGAAACAATATTATAAAGAACGAGTCTAAAGGTAACGCTTTGCGCGATAAGTAGGCATAGATAACCATTTTCGGATTACCCAAAATTGGCGGTCTGGTTGTTGATACTGCATGTCTATTTGACTACTGCCTAGTCTGGTCCACTAACCCCAAAGCGCGGTTGGACGAAGAAACAGTAAGAGTTAAATTAAAGAATGACGTTATTCCAATGTTGGTTTTTCAGAAAATAATCTTTAAACTCCGTGTAATAGCTATATTCACAGTTCAACAACACAAGAGAAGAACATGAAGCTCGCAAAGCATTGCCGTTACATTCATTCTTTAATTTAGGACAAACGTCAACCGGAAATAAATATGAGCGTTATAACAAAACATCATCATCTACTATTATTCAGATGGAAAAATATATCATTTGAGTGACGATGGAAACTCCTTTTTTGCAATATATACAATGTCTTCTAAAAACAAAGCATCTTCGTTTCACGCAAACAGTCCCAAACGAGCAGTTTTTGCTGAGAGAAATGTATGTAACACGAACACAACAGGTTTAGGACATCCGCGGAGGTCAAGTTCCTGAAAATGAAATTGAGCAAGTTAATGAATAAAATGATAAATCACTTCTCTATACATCAACAGTATAGTTTTTGCTATAAATTTTATTTCCTCGCCAAAAAAGCTTTAATAATTCTACACTTGATAAGTTTAACAAATATGATGTGCCGTCTCAGATAAAATGTTGTGAAAATGGCGTAAAACGGTGTGATACGCTCATGTATATGGGTGAGTCGATGCCATTTTAACTGGTGATTTTGACGCTATTTTCATGATTTCATCAGTTGAATCTTCAGTCTTGAGCAATTTTACAAACGCAAAACATTTAAAATGAAAACGAAACAACAAATTTGGCTCAATTTGAGTCCCAAAGAATACGTATGAACTAAGATTTATTGCGCGCTTTTGTTTATGTTTTATCATTAGTTTTTCACCTTGCGGCAAACTGAACTCAATTTCGTCACTACGTTGTCTAATATATACGAAAATTTGGCAGAAGCACATTGATAAAAATCTCTATCTTACATTAGCTAATTACTATCGTTTATCCAGGTTGCATTGACTACAATAGCAAAATTCGCCATTTATGTTCCTATATAGCCTAATAAAATAGCCTTTCAAGAACAGGAGTACTGATTGGTTGAATGTTCGAAAAAATGCTTGCACTTCGTGGTCATGCTAGCCACCCAATTTCTAGTTTCTCCTAATCTTTCCCGCGTATTTTTATAAACCTATAGAAACGCGGAAACGTTTTCTATTTCTTAAAGTGGTACTATGACGAAAATTTTGCCTCTCGTTTTTTTTTCATAGATTAATAGTGTATGTTAAAAAATCTCTTCTGGCGAAATTTTAGCGCAATGTATTTCATGCTGCTCGAGTTACGTAGCGATAAAACTTGAACTTTAAGAGCCGCCATTAAAATGCGCCATATTTGAATTTTCAAGAAGGAAGGTGCTTGTGACGTCATAGTCTTAACTCGCGGCTGTTTACAATATAACACTATATACAAATAGAGATTTAAAAGGTTGTATAACTCAATTTTTTTAACATGCCTTCAACACGCTGTGTCGTGCAAGATTGCAGTAATAAGTCTGATAGAAGTACAGGCATTTCATTACATAAAAGCCCAAACGGCGAGTCTTTGAGAAGAATTTGGGTTAAATTTGTTCAGACGAAGCGCGCCAACTTTAATCCAAGTTCGCGCAAAATTCGATTTATGATTTGTTTGAATCACTTCTCGGATGATTGTTTTGAGCGTTTATTCCATTTGGGTGGTATGACTAGACGGCTCAAACCTGGTGCCGTACCTACTATTTGGAAGAAACCACAAACACCAACAACGTCAAGAGAGCGGCGTCAGGTTAGCACAAGTTGCAATTATTATATACTTACACATATTGCAGATGATAAATTTTCACAATTTGAGAGAACCAATAATACATCCAGGCAAACTTTCAATATATAATATACATTTATACTAAGGTTTTAAAGGAAATACAAAATGAAGTGTCTGTATCATGCGTAAAGACCTTTGGTCTTTAAACCTAACGAAGCTGCTTGAAGAACAAATTCGTTCAGGCAAACTTCGTTAAAGCCAGGGTGATCCAAAATGCATTTCCTTTCATCGATTTCGAACTGATACATTTTACCACGGCATTGCTCTATTTCCATGCAGCATCGGCACTCTTGAGGGTTGACAACAAGATCCAACGAACAATGGCCACATTCACACCTTTAATGTTGGCCAAATTGTATGTTTCCATAAAGTTATCATAGCTAACGGCAGACGATTCAGATCAAAGTAACACACTAAGAATGACATCTTACCATGAAGTAACATCAACACGGGCATCAAAACGATCTTGCAGCATGTCTTCAACCCGCCGTTCTTCTGCGACTGTAGCTTCGTACTCAGCAATTTCATCGGGCGAAGCAAGGGGTTCAATATTATCGACAAATGGCAAAATTTCCGAATTAGATTCGTTCAAATTTGCCGTCACAAATTCCGATGAAGAAATCGATGCGTTTGTCTCGATCGAAGACTCAGAGAGCGAGCTAGATCTCGATGAATTTGACATTTTTTTGCTCTATTTATGTTTTTCTTTGTATACTTTCCATTGTGCGCTTCTTGCCGTGTTAAGACTATGACGTCACTGACCTTTGCTGATTGCAAATATTCAAAATGGCCGATTTTAATGGCGGACATGAAAATTAGACATTTCAAATGTTCATAACTCCCTCGTTATATTATTATTTTTGCTTAAATTTTACGAAAGCAATAATTGATATGTGTTTAAACTATTGAATGCTAAAATCGATGATTTTTTAACGTTAAGTTTTCGTCATAGAACCACTTTAAATAATGCTAATTAAAGAAAATTTTGTTGTACAGCAATACCTGCTCACCCTCGTCACCACCAAAATCAAGCCACAATAGACGTTGTCCGTCGTCAGCTGACATCTTTAAACGATCAAATGGAAACGACCACATGACATGCGATTTACCATTTGGGTCGAAACCAGATTTAGCGTCTGTTAATTTGAAGCCGTTCTCGTAATGGATCGTAAGGCGTGTTTCCTCGTTGTGCCACGTGACAGCTAACGTAGGAATAACAATGAAATATACGTAAGAATAACGAATGTCAAATATTCTATGCACTGGCGGTAAAAAAAACTGCTCAACTTTTGTCATTACGGCAAATTACAGGAGTGTGTAAAGTCAATCTATGGAAGCGACGAATTAAATAAAAAGTAAAACGATTGTAGCATTTAGTATTCTATAGGCCTTACTCTAGCTATCACAATTATTATACTTTTTGTTTTTTACCACAATTACGACAGTGTTGCGACAGCAAAATTTAAATAAAAACTGTGTTTCCCGTCAATAGTGACAAAATACAACAAAATTTTAGTGAACGAGCGTCAGTTACAACGAATCTAGAAAGATTATGTCAAATAAAGACAAATCATGTCATTCGGAAGCCTGTCTTGAAAAAAATTCAAACAAATGATTTCTGACGAATAATGTCTTACAAAAACCAGCGTTAAATAGAGATTCAACTCCATTCATAAACTGCTTTAGAGAGTCTACTGTGAATTTAAAAGTTCTGTAGAATAAAACTGAAATTTAAAAAGCGAAATTTTCACTTCATCAGCACTTTAAAATACCACTCATCACAGATGTAAAAGAAGCATTCCAAATCTTACCACAATTGATTTCCTTGATTAATGCAGCTGCACTGTGCGCTCCTTCGATGATACTGCGACACCAATGTGCTAGCTCTCTTGGTGTTTCAGCACGGAAAAGATGAGCTTCGACGCCCTTTCGCGATCCGGTTCTGGTACCGAAAGTCAAATCTGGTGAATTCAAGCGTTCCGTAGATGTACCCGCTGAATTTACCAACCTAACAACGTGCAACAGATAATTTATAAAGCACAGAGAATTCTTTATGAAAATACATTGAAATTTGAATAACGAATTAGCATGAAGGGCGAAGTTGAAAATAGGCCAAATCCGAAAAGTTTAAGAAACCAGCTTTTTTTTACATGCGTACAAGTTAAATATGAAAGTAAAAAAAATGAGAAAAGACTAAAATTTCAACTCAAAAGGCAGCATTGTAGATAACTTCCCTTTGTTAATAATGAACGTTTGAGAAGAATGAAACGATAACATACTTACATCTTGATAGCTTGACTTCTTATACATAAACAATTTGCAATAATAATGTTCTCATTTTAAAATTACTAACAATGTTGAATATACAAACGCTAATGACGAAATTGTAATGTGTCAATGCATAAAGTAAAATAAATCTCTACTATGTTTTATAGCACACAGCATATTATCATGCTTTTGGATTCAGTTGGAATATGGTAAAAACTGCTCTTATGTCTAAAGTGAGTAGGTTAGTCTAAAATAGCTAAATGAAAAGAGTTTATGACAATATTTTATCATTGTTTTACAGCAAACACCTATGCCTTGATTGAAATGGCAAACAAGACACAATTTGTAAAGATTGTATGGGCAGCTAATTAGTTTTGCTTAGTGACCAATCATTTCAATGACAAAGTCAAGAAAGTGAATTTTTTTCCAATAATCTTCAAAGTATTGATAATAAACACATGTGTCCATAATGCGATGAATTAAAACAATTATATTTACACCTTTCCCCCAACATGTTTACTCTATGACTAAATCACATAATGACTAATTAGTTTGAGTTATTACAATCATACATGGAGTTCATAGAAAATATTGATTTTTCTAATGACCTTTTGATTACCAAACTGCAGCCTTCAACAGGCATGTGGTGAATGAATATGAATTATGTGATGACATGTATGATGTGTCATGTACACAGGTATGTGTCACGTATATAGGTAATCTCATAATTCGTAATCATTCAACTCACACCTGTTGAAGAGAACAATTTGGTAGCCTAAAGCTTAGAAAAAAATAAATACAATTAAAAGAACCTGAGAACGGTTATTCCATCATTATGCATAACAAATTTAGAACACTATGTACAAAGTTTGTTGATTTTCCATGCAAACTTTTCACTAAAAACAACATGAAAAGTTCAGGGACATTCTAATTCAGTAAACACCTAATTAACTTGTAGGGAGATAAATTAATTCCTTTTTTAAAAAGATAAATGTAAAAATTGGATACCTGGTAGCAAGAAGAGGATGACTCATGAATGGCGATGCCCAGTCCTCCAATGTGAACGCAACAGCATCATACAGTAACATATCTTTATCAGTCAAAGCAAGAAAAACTGGTTTCCATTCCGGTTTTGGACTATCACCTCCAACATAAACCTGTTCACTCAGCCAGCCCATTGTGTGAATCTCCCTGTTCCCTGGCGTGCCGCTTAAAATTATGTTTGCTTCATCAATGGCTAAAGATTGAAAAAATTAAATTTGAAGTTGTCATGCTAAACTAAAGGGCACACAGGAGCATAGCCAGTTCAAAACATTGGCTCATCCAACATTGGCTCATGGTTAGTTAGTCTACCATTTATTTATTTATTGAGAAGCCAAAAATTAGCAAAGGTTAATATGATAGATTTCTTGAGTGGCCATTAAAAGCTTGCAAAAACAGAAACAATAATTCATGAGCTATTAATCTATTCTTAAATGTGTTAACTGTTATAGGCATGATTTTGACAAGTGCGTGAGTTTTTTTGAACAATGAAATAATCAAAACTCTACATATAATTCATAATACAAGCGGTGAGGAACAGAGTTCAAGCAGCATGGTGGAGTTTTAGAGAGTTGTCGGGAATGTTGTGCGGAAAGTTGACTTCGTTGAAGCAGAAGGGAGAATTGTACAAGGCATGAGTTAGAAGTGTTTTGGGATATGGAGCAGAGTGTTGGGCGCCGAAAGCAGAGGACCTGAGAAGATTGGCGTCGACAGAAAGGAGAATGCTTAGGATGATGTGTGGTGTAACGTTGATGGATAGGATTCGAAGTGAAGAGATTAGAGAAAGAGTTGGTGTTGAGTGTATCGAGAATTGGGTAAGGCGCCAGCATTTGAGGTGGTTTAGGCATGTGGAAAGGAGGGAAGAAAGTGCTGAAATTCGTAGAATGTTGCATATGAATGTTGATGGAGTCCGCAAATGAGGTAGACCGAGAAAGAGATGGATGGATGCTGTGAACAGTGATATGAAGGCGATGGGTATAACGAGAGATATGGCGAGAGATAGAGACGTTTGGCGTAGAAAAGTTCATGGACTGGTCAACCCCCCTGGTGGGCATTAATACTGGCCGGAATACAAATGTTGTTTGTTTGTTTGTTTTGTTTACAAAGCCAAGTGCCACAGAATCTTAATTGATTTATCTTGCACATATAATTAAATTTAATATGACAAAAATGTTATGTTTGAATAATCGATATGCTTGGAATTGCTTCAATGCATTGTACTAATATACAACAAAAAACTGTGAATTTTTTAAGATTTTGCATACATATAGAATTCCAAAGGTGATCATGAACCTCTTTAAAAATTGTCTCTGTTTTCAAGGGAATTTATATCCAAAGTGCATTTGAATGAGAAACTAATTATCCTTGTAAGGTTTCTTTCACCTTGGTAATTAACTCAAGGAATTCACCACACTTCAGACAAATAGCTGAGCTAATGATCACCCTTAGTAATTAATTCAATTCGTTTCTTTGGTATGCACAGGCGAAGGTTAAATTAAATTATCTTACCAGGTTCTATAAGTCGAGCAACGTTTGAATGTATTACATTGTACCATTGCTGGGCGGATGCTGCATCGTTGCATCGTAAGATACACGCTGAACGACCATCTGAACTGAAGATCTCAAAACTTCTTCCTTCCGCCCCTTGGACTTTGGCTGGAATGTATCGCGATACATAACAGAGTTTCAAAAGAATCGATTTTAGTTCAGGCCAGTTTTGAGGTGATGTGCTCGGAATTCCCCCACTGGATTCGCTACTTTTTGAGCCGCGAAAGTACGGCGTAACCTCCTTTAGATATTTAACTGTCAAATCCACTTCACGTCCTGCTTGCTTTAGAGCACGCACGGCTTCGTCGTGGGTCGCATTCCTAAGGTCTTCCTGATTGACAGCGAGTATCGCATCCCCAACATACAACGCGTCTGTTTGATCGGCTGCGAGTCCTTTGAAGATCTTCGAAATAAGAATCGGCATTTTGTTCTCCTTTCCACCTTTTATAGATATACCCAAACCTCCGACTTCTTGTTTGATTACGCGGACTTTGCGGACTTCATTCAAAATCGATTCGGGCGGGATTTTCTCTTCGGGTGAAGCTGCCAACGAGTCGTTGCCATTTTTGGACGATACTGTGCTAGAGTTGGAAGATTTCGAGTAGTCTTCGGCATTTAACGTAAGCGTTTCTTCGTCTAGCGAAACGAAAACACGTCGCCAGCCATCCTTCGTGTAGTAATCGAGCAAACCGGAGCGCGATGAAGCAGCCATAGCTCACATTCTCTTACACATATATGTCTTGCTTCAGTAGCGAATTCCTGTTGACCTTCCTTGACTTCCCATTAACCTTAATAACACGGATATTTGGACTCACAAGGGGTTTAACACCCGGCGCTTAGAACTTATCACATTGGTGATATCCTTATTTATTGAATTCTCAGTTTTCCTAGGAAAGTGCAAATAGCCCATTTGTCCATGTTAGCCGCAGTTCAACATGTACACGTTTTTCCAAATGTTTGAATTTTATAGTTTATTCATTCATTCCAGGAAATGAAGAAATAAACTTTCTTTTAAAAAAGTTTAGTTGGAAGTTTTTTTGGGAGCTTCCTAAAAGGAGTAACCAATTTTTAGATTAGGAATCTCAAACTAGTCTGTTTTATGGAATTTCCATATTTCCATTGGGAATTTCAGATATTAAATTTGTTACAGTCAAGTGGTCAAGTTATCAAGTCAAATTAGTTGGTATCTCTTTCTCTTCGTGGAATTTTGCACTCGAAAAAACTAATTCATGATTTCATTTTAAGTAAACTTGTTTTTAGCAACAATATAAATGCAAAAATATCTCATAATTTTGGCAAACTCAAAGACATATTAATTCTGAGAAAAGTGTTAGTGTTACTTCGGTTTCACGCCTATTGAGTGTTGAGTGAGTATTTTTGTGTTGTTCGTAATTGGGTTTTGGATAATAAAGCCTGGTCAGTGTTAAGGTCATTCACGTTGTCTTAGACATTGTCAATCTCAAATATGAAGTATATCTTTGAATTTTCACACTGATTAACCATGTTTTGAAACAACTCATTTTGACTTATCAAATGTTGCAGGTTATCAGTTAGCTTGATAAATAAGATCCAGTTTATAGATCATGCATCATTTCATCTCACTCCACACGTCTTCTATGGCTTAAAAGATCAAAGCATGCTTGTAAATTGATGATTGATTCAACTATGCCTCTTTAATATTGTTGAATGTCACCCAATCTTGAGTTTGTTAGATGATGTTGTTATCAATTTTTTCCATTCAAAATTTATACTGAAGTTCTTTGTGATCAGTGACTTTTATTGAGAAATAAGGATGTTTGCTATGTTTGCCTAGGTGTGTGAAAACTGAGGAGACCTTTGTGAGAGTTCTCACAAACATTTCCAAAGTTTTCATTAGCCAGTGCTATAACAAAAAAAATCTTTAACATTTTATTAAAGTAACATGAACAATGTGAAACAGATAAATTTAAAACAAATGTTGCAATTTTTCCTAAAACATGTATTTATGATTGATTTGCCATTTCTTTTTGATTGATTTTTGCCATGCATGGTGGCCAGCTTGCTAAGCAAACTTTTTTTACATTTAGCAAGACATTAGAAAACAAAAATGTTGTCATTATCAGATGCAGCTAAATTAGAATCATTTGGAGACAAGGCTGTAAGTCGTTTCCGTCCATGGTGGGAAGTCCTGACCTTCTACAGTCTGAATTGTTTGCTAATGGCAATCTTGTTTTCATTGGCTGGTATCACCATCTCTGGTACCTACAATATATGGTGTTTTCCTGATGATAAAGACATGCAATTGGACTACAGCATCATGAACTATGTCAGCTCCAAATGTTCAAGAATCTTTGATGGAAAGTATCTCATATATTTCCCCTACTGGATGCTCTTGGAGTGGAGTGTGTTTTTTGTCATCCATCTGCTCTGGTTCAAGATGCCAGCAACATTTTTTCTGTTCCAACAACTATCTGAAGTGTTCTCTGAATTTAGCACCATAAAGCCAGTAGAATTCAATACAGAAAAGAGAATTTTACAAGGTATTTATTAAATTGATATCCTGGCAACCTAACTGCAAATCATTAATACCCAGTATAGTTTTTGACATCACTCTTTTTGTCGTATGAAAATAGAATTGATTTTTAATCTCCATGATCTCAAAATGGCTTATGAAAGAAAATGTGCAACACTCTAGATCGGCTAAATATTCTAGTTTCAATCTAGCATCACTCTTCACAAAGGCTCCGTACTGAAATATACGTATAATTTGATATTAATTTCTCATTAGTTTAGGCAGAAAATATCATATTGTTGGATTGGAAGTTATGAAATTAGCTACTATGATCTAAAAATTATCACTGAGACTAAGTGAAACAGTGTGTTTTGTTTACCCTAGCCTACCATTCTTTCCCTAGTTAAAACCAAGGGGAACACTGAGCACTGTTCCTAGATTTCAGTCAATAAATGTTTAGTAGTATACCAATTTTGAAAGAGACAGGGGCTTGGGAAGTGTGGTGTCTGGGTGTCCAAACACGAGGGATCAGTTCAATTCCTTCACTCTCACTTGAAATCTTTCGGCTATCGAGGCTAAAGGAAAAAAATTTTAAAAATTGGTACTATACAGGTTTTATGAAGAAACTGAGCTGTTTGGAAAACGTCACCAAAGTCATCAGCGCGCATGATTTGCGCAATCCTTTGGTGGAAATAGTTCGTTTGAATTCCATTGATCTATGTGATGGTAAAATTGTCGAAAAAATGACCATTTTTTAAATAAGATTTAATTGTGTTATTAAGAATCACCTTTGAAATAGTTTGCGCACGAAAACGAGGCAGCGAAAAGGAAAGTGGAACACATTATGCTCAAATATGGCACATGTTGTTCAAGCTTACAAAGTTTTAGGCTAATACATACGCTTAGCCTTTAATTGCAAATAATTGTTACATTCCTCATCAATTATGAATAAATTTGAGTTTAATTAATCCTGATATGAATTATTGAAGTTTTTAGAAAATGGACATGAAAAAAGGAAAAACGCTAAATACTCCGCAATTTGTTAATCCTAACCCCTAACCCTGGGTTCCAATTGCTTTTTAGGGACCCATCCACACTAACACGGATTCAAAAGTATACGGATTCGTTTAATCGAAAGCGAATTTTCAATATGAACATAATAGACCAACATAAGACTTCTAAAAAAGCCACAACAATAATAAAATAGAGAAGGATTTATTAATAACCTTTCGTCTTTAACTTAAGACATCTTCAGATTATTTGAGTTAATTTATATACACGAGGTTTTAAATACAAGCATATATTACAGGGTGCTAAATTACATGTGAGGGGAGTAAGAAGTGTAGATGACGGAATTAAGTGAGAATGGCGGTATATTAAAGAAGGTGAAGGGGGATTGAGTTGCCTTGGGTGATAAGAGAGGGTTTAAGTTTGGATATAAGAAGGCTTTCATGAATCATAAGGTCATAATTGTCGGAGGAGAAAGAGAGAATTGAGAAGTCATTAAAATCGGCAGAGTGAGATGTATTTCTTATATGAGAAAGAACTGCAGATGGTGGTGGACATAAGGAAGGTTTCCCTGTTAAAGGAGAGATGCCCAAGTGTTCTGATATTCTGGTGTGTAAATGACGCGTGGTTTGACCGACATACAATGCAGAGCAGCATCGACAGTTAATTGAGTATACAACACCAGATCTCAGGAGCTTGGGAACCCTATCTTTAGAAGGAAAGAAAGAGGAGAGACGCCTGGAAGAACGAAAAACAAAGCGAACGTTGATATGAGGAAAGGCAGCATTGCAGAGTAGAGTGATTTGAGTGCGAATCTGAAGACAGTGTAGGCCAGTGAAAGGGAGACAGAATGATTTTCTTAGGAGCAGTGTGAATAAGATCTTTGGGGTTCAAATGTATTGTTGAGGAAGCGGTGAACATGATTGTCAAATATGTATGAAGGGAAGTTGTTTAAGGTGAACAATTTTCTAACAACTTCTAGTTCGGTATGAAAGTGTTCATAGCTGGAACAGAGGTTGAAAATTCTGTGAAGTAAAGAGGAGATCAAGGAGCGTTTGTATTGAATGGGAATGAAACTATGGAAATTGGTGAAGAGACCAGTGAAAGTGGGTTTACGATACACGGAAGTGGAAAACTTGCAGTTTGAGCGAGTTATTTTTACGCCAAGAAAGGGGAGCGTGTTGTCTTTTTCCAGTTCAGATGTAAAGGAGATGTTAGGGTGTTGGTGGTTGAGATAGGTAAGGAAAAGAGGTATGTGATCCAATGATCGGAAGAGTAGAAAGCAATCATCAACGTAACGTTGGTAAAGAAGGGTTTTGAAGGTGGAGGGACAGTTGTGAAGCCATGAATTCTCATTGAAGGCCATAAATATGTTCGCAAATAGTGGGCCTAGGGGGCTGCCCATAGCCACACCATCAATCTGTTGATGAACTTGGCCGTTAAAGAAGAAATGACAGTTTTTGACGGAGAGGGAGAGAAGTTGAGTGAATTGTGAACGGTCAAGGCCTTGAAAGGACGTGTTGGAGAAGAGGTGATTAGTTATTATGGCGATTGTTTCATCAACTGGGATGTTGGTGAACTATGATTTAACATCAAAGCTCGCCATCACAACGTTATTGGCGTTAATGTCACTTTGTAAAAGATCTTGGACAAAAGAGAAAGAATCCTTGATAACATGGGAGCTGGCGGAGATTGGTGTAAGGAAAGGAATAAAGAATTTGGCTAGCTTGTAGGAGTAGTGGTCAATACTAGATAAGATTGGTCTTAGAGGGATGGAGGATTTATGAATTTTAGGGAGTCCATATAGTATGCCGATACGTGTACCATTGGGATAAAGTTCGTTGTATGTTTTTTCATTTATGCATTTTTCTGCCTTAAGTTTTCTTTACTTGACTCTCGCGTTTCATTGTAATTTTGATTGCATCATCATTTAAAAGTTGGAATTTCGATGCGTCCGCTAGAATTTCCATCATCTTTTTGTGGTAGTCGTTTTTATTCAGAATAACAACTCCGTTGCCTTTATCCGGTTTTAGGATGACGATGTTGTTGTCATTTCTCAGATCATTTAACGCGTTTAGTTCATTCTCCATGTATAAGGCATTCGGTCGGCTGTAACTGCGAAAACCCGAGTAAGCTATGTCCTTTAGCTTAGCTTTAATTGAGTCAGGGAAAAAGCCAGAGGGTGTGTGGACGGGTTATTGTTGAAGGCGATTGTAAAACTTCTCAAATGGTGTGAGGAAAGTGCACGAGTTTAGTTTGGCAGGTGGAACAGCAAAGTTGAGGCCCTTCGAAAGGATTTCTTTTTCTTTTTGCGTGATGAAACGATTTGAGAAATTGAAAACCACGTCGTCAGCACTCAGGGTTGATTGGGTTTGTGTTAATCTGTCCAGTGCTAAGGCGAAATATCTTGCGGTCTTGTGTGCGTTGTTGATGGCTTAGTTTTTTTGAGTTCTCACGATCAGAAACATGTTTTAGGTGAATGAAGTGAAGGTTTGAAACCAAAGATGCCAGTCTGGAATGTGCGGTCGTAGCTTGTGATGACAGTACTCGTATCCGAACGTGCTTTGTGTTTATTTCTTCTTGTAACAATTTGTGTATATAAATTAACTCAAATAATCTGAAGTCTTAAGTTAAAGACGAAACGTTATTAATAAATCCTTCTCTATTTTATTACTGTGATGGCTTTTTTAAAAGTCTTATGTTGGGCTATTATGTTCATATTGAAAATTTGCTTTCCGCCTGACAAATCTCTGGCCACGATTTTAAATAATCGAAAACGCATCAATGAGGTATTTGCCGGTTGCCAGTCTCCCTTAAATTTGCGCGGTTTTTGCTATGCATTTTGGGATCGCCAGAGGGCAAACATTTCTTCAGAAATTTATCTGTAATAGTGATATTTTTGAGAATTCTCAATTTAAAGCACCTATTTCCATTATAATGGCTATTCGTTGTAATGGGTATTCGTTACCAGTTGGGAGAAAAGAAGTAAAAGTATGTGGAGACAGCAATTGCTTTTATCGAGCAGTTGCGTTGGCTATAAACGGTGAAAGCGACGAAAACTTTGCTCACATTCGAGAAATGTATAACGATGTTTTGATACAAAATCCAGCTACTTTTCGACCGTATTTATTTCGATACGAATCGATGGAAAAGCATCTGGAGCGAAGCATTATGTGCGGTACGTGGGGAGAAACAGTGGATATGTACGCTTGTGCCACGTCCTTGCAGCATGAAATTTGTGTTTATGCTATGCTTGAGCAGAAATGGTTTTATTTCACTCCTCGCCTGGTGTTGCGTCATTGTTAAAATATGATCGATTCCAGGGGCGGATCTAGGATTTTTGAAACATCAGTCATAAAACGTCGGAGGCGCTCCTCACCTGGGGTCTGAGGCATTCTCCCCTGAGAAATTTTGAATTTCAGAGCCTTGAAAATGCCATTTTCAGCGTTTTAGAGCAATACAAAATGTATTTTGTGGGCATCGTTTTTGCGTAAAAGCAACACATTTTGCTTATGTTTTTTCAAAAAAAAACTGAAGTGAACAAAACTCGAATGTTTTTCCAAATATTTAGGCTCATTATCATGCCAAATATATGGCTTATTAGCATCACACACTCGCATAAATTGACTTTGATATATTACATTCATGCATACACTTCACTTGTCCTTTAATTACGATTTTGGATGTAAATTTCTGCTGATAAAACTCAAAACAATGTTGGCTTTCTTTTGACCATCAATGACTGAAATGTTGCTCGCGAGATCGTCTTTGCCAAGCATTTACAATTTATCCATAAATTTTTCACCCTCTTGAAAAAATTCACAGTTTGGACAGCAGCATTCATGTCAATATATGAATTTGTTAAAGATTTCCATAAATTCCATCTGATTGTAGTTTAGTTTCTATCATGCTTATAAAAATTACTATGAAACGATCAAACATTCAATTCAGACAGTGAACTTGACTATGTTAGTTCAGTTGGCTATCAGTCGAAATCCGTCAAACCAATCACAATAAAACAAAAATTTAAATGAACCAATTGTAAGATAGCAATTGGACTCCCTTATACGTCCGGCCACCCCTCTTATCAGTCGATCTGTCCACTGATCTGGCCATTGACCAATAAATAATCGTTTTTGGCGTTCTTAGACTCCTTTATCCGTCGAACCAGTCAAGCCACCCCGCTTATAAGTCGGTTATTCCAGGTCAATTAAAATTCAACTGATCTGGTTACCAACGAGATATTCATTGGGTTAGTCATTAGTTTTCAATAATAAATAAAGATGGATTTTTATCACGAAGTAAATGCGATAATAAAGTAAGAATAATTAATGAATTTTTAATTAATATGAATGGGCAATTTTTGAATATCAAACATCAGTCGCGCGACGGATTTGACATACTCTAGATCCGCCCCTGATCGATTCTGTGATTGTCCAATGACTTTAGTCTTGCATAACTTTCACAGAGCTGCTTGCCATTTCAATCTTTTGCAACCTATCAATAGTTGTTGTCTCGCCCCAATACCTGCCAATGAATACCAACCACCTGTGTTGGTTGATTTTGAACTTAAGGAAGAACCATGTCTTTCTAATGACCAATCATCTCCACTCAAAACTAGAACTGTACCTTGTCCATCAAAACCTAAAACAATATCCCGCAAATACAAACCCAAAAACACATTTTGTCTATCTTAACATAAAACCATATTTTGTAAAACCAAACAAGAAAAGCTTGAAAATGAAAACATTGCGAAGAATGTTGACACTAGTACAGTTGTCATGGATGAGCAATTTCACCAGAGAAATAATTTCAAAGACTGGAAAGTTAAAATCCGATCTCATAAAGTGAGCAGAAGCCACTGAGGAGGCAAAACTACCAATTGATCCTGATTTTTCAAAGGATTCCTTGGAGCATTGTCTTCAAGAACGATTGACACTTCCTGCTGGAAAGCGCCTACAAGATCCATTTAAAATGACATGTCAGCTTTACCAACATTTGGACTGTTGGATATTTTTATTCATTTAATAGTTAGTAAAGCAGAATATGACAAAGAAATGTTGGCATCTTCGAGAACATTTGATGATTATAAATTACACCAAAATGGTCATGTAAGGAATTTATGTTTAACTATTGTCTATGACAATGATGATAGCAAGTTTCACATTGACATTGGCAGTGTTTTACCCACACAAAGGGGCAAAACACCAGAAGGCATGAAAGAATACAGATCCTGGTTCATACTTTCACCAAAAGGCTCTGTGTCTTCTGCATTTTGTGAATGTAAAGGTAGTTCAGATCAGGGATGCAAGCACTTGGGTGCTTATATGTTTGAACTTGAAGAGTTTTTGTCAGGTAAAAGAACTTCAGTGACTTCACTTCCAGCATACTGGCAACCAAAGCCAACACCAAGAAATAAGCCCTTACCATTACTGGAAATAAAAATTTGTCACTCGGTGAAACCCAAACGGAAAAGGAAACATGTATCTCTCGGCGACTCTTGGGTTGACTCATTTGACCCAATGTCAAATCGTATGAGAACCACAATAAGTGAAGTAGACAAAGTAGAATTTGCCAGGAAGTTGAGAGACATTGATGAAAATTCTGGTATTTTGGATTTCCTTCCTGAGTGCCCACATTCAGACAAAGTAAAAAAAATGAAAACGGTTTTTAAACTTAATAGTCTTAACATAGAAACAAAAGCTAAAATATTTGCAAGGGAAAATCAACATTTGATTAAAATAAGAGTGAAGAAAGCCTGTGATACCTTCATTAGCACATTAAAATTCACTGAAGAAGAACAATTGTTCATTTCAGCTGCAACAAAAGGACAATCCAAAAATGAAGAATGGCATAAAATGAGACATGCCATGGTAACAGGAAAAAAAGTCAAAGCTATTTACACTAGACAAAAAACAAAAGAGCGCACCCCTTCGGCTGATTTATCAAAAACTGTTGCTAATTTTTTGGAAGACAAGAACAATTTGATAAACTTAAATGCTATGCAATATGGACTAGACAAAGAAAAAGAGGTTCTGTATCTTTACAAGAGACTGCGTACAAAGAAGCCTGAAAAAGTTAAAATAGAAGAACCTGTTTTGCTTGTTGACCCCAAAAATTTATGGATGGGAGTGCGTTTGGATGGAATATGCCAATGTGAATGTTGTGGCTCAAGGACACTTGAAATTAAGTGCCCTCAAACATACAAGAATATGGATCCCAAATCTGCATTTTTCTCAACAGCTATTGGTGGGAAAACTAATGATAGTGGAATTAAAGTGTTGAACAGGAACCATTTACATTCCTTTCAAGTCCAAATGGCTATAAGCCAAATCGACAAATGTGATTTTATTGTATTTACAGAAAAAGGAATTGATATAGTAGAAATACCATTTGATGGTGACTTCTGGAGTGATGTATTTAAAACTGTGTTTCTTTTCTATAAGAATTGTATTATTGGTAGTCTTTTATTGAAATATGTGCAATGATAAAATTTATATTTACAAATAATAGTTTTTCAAAATAAAAATATTAAGTATAATTTATTTTAGATTATGTAAGGATAACTTTATACCACGCTTTCCTACATTACATATAGCGGCACACATAAACAAAATGTTGTCCAAAACTGATTTTAATGTCAATGGAATAACTCCTGACAAAATCTGAAATTGCTTTAGTTTCATTATATTCCTTTCGACATGAGATCTTAATGATGCCACACGCCGAGTATGAGTTGTTCCACGAGAGGAAAGCCTAGGTCCACGACAATAGGCAGGAGAAATAAGGTGAACTTTCTTCACCACAAGTATATCTCTAACAAGGAATCCCTTATTAGCCATGATACCATCACCTTTTTCTAGCAAGTTTATGAAACCAGAGTTGGTGACAATTTCCTTGTCAGATATTGAACCAGTCCAAAAGGGTGGGATGAAGGAAAAAATATCAGTTGGGGTAATGCCAACTGATAGTTTAGCAGTGTTCCAATGCTTATAGCTGCTCCATGAGATTTTCTGGCTCCCAGGTATCTTAGGTTTTTATAAAAAAATTCTGTCCAATCAATAATTATCCTTAACTTGTTAAATTTCTGAAATCGCTTAGGTAGTTTCTTTGATTTCAGACTTACTTGGCCTAGGCACAAAGAATGACAGCTCGTTAGACAGGAATCTAACCCAAGTCGTATAAATCCGGGAAACATGACTAGCTGAACAGAAAATGTATCAGCCAAAAACATGACATCAAACCCTTTTCGTGTCCTGACAAGAGTAAGAATGAATTCTTCCCAATGTGTCAATACTCTTGAGACATGCCCTCTTTTAATAGACTGGGCAGTGGCTGTATCAGTAGAACCTCTCCAATACTCTTTGCTTTCTCTTTAATCAAACTGAAAACTAAGTTCAACCTTTCTAGGGACAATCCAGAGTAGCGGTAGCAATTCTTCTTGCAAATAGCTTGTTCAATAAATAAGTTTCTTTTCAACATTTTAACATCGCCATGGTAAAAACAGTCAATGAGGTCATGTTTATCACTTTCAAAGCTGTAGCTATTATCAGAATCATAACTTGTAACATCCAAGTCTGTTGTGCAATGTATTTGTGGACTCTCTTGGTGCACAGACTCTGGCTCAGTACACTGCTCAGGAACAGTGATTTCAGCTGCAAAAAATGCCTCATCCTCATTGTCAAAGCTTTTCTCAGTACTGCCTTCACACAGAATTTTTCTACTCTTTCTTTTGATTGGTATCCTTTTAGATACAAAGTTGGATTGGGACAGCCTTCGGATCGATAACCAGCAAGAAAATGATTAGAACAAACCTTCGTATTAGTAGTGACTAAAGTTTTTCCTGTTGATCAGCTTTTGCCAAGCACTCTTGTCTTTTGCGTTTTTCGGAGAAAAATAGGGAAGAATACCAACGTGATCGGAAACGATATATTTTTCATGATATCTTCTATCGTTATCACAACTATAAACAGCACAGTGATCCCCTTTTTCCATTATAATGTGAATATAAACTTTTTACGAAAAGATATCTTTATAAAGATACACAATGTTTGCCCCCTGGCGATCCCAGAATGCATTGCAAAAACCGCGCAAATTTAAGGGAGACTGGCAACCGGCAAATACCTCATTGATCCGCGTCCACACTACCGTTTTCGGTTCGTTTTTCGATGGTCCCTACTACCTTTTGAGATTTGTAATGAATGTCTTGCAAGACATAATAAGCAATTTGATCATGCAAAATAAGACTTTTCGCGACGAAAGTTTGTGAAACGAAACTGTCCCAGCTCGCGCTTTCAACCAAAACCTTTTCGCCTCAGTCAGCCGTTTGTTTAGCTATTTCGTCGATATGCAGGCCTAGAAATAACTATTTCAACATAACAATAGTTGTCTTCTGTGTCGGACAAATGAAGCATTAAAAAGAGCGAGATCCTCATCCTAAAAATCGATTAATAATAAAATAGAAGCAAATTTACTTAAATCATACCACGTTTATTTTGAGTTTTGCGTTTGGTTGACGTCATCGTTTCAATTTTTATGCGGATCCGACCGTCCACACTAGCACAAAACATATACGAATTCGTCTTTATCCACTTTCGACAGCCTTTCCAAACTTATACGGATTCTGTGAATCCGATCCGCGTGCTAGTGTGGACGGAAGGCCTAAACGTATCAAAATGTTTACGGTTTCGATAGAATACGTGTTAGTGTGAACGGGGCCTTAGTTTTGTCTTTTCGTGCGCAAGCCATTCCAAAAGTGCTTCTCTGCAAGACAATTCTCACAGTCTCACTAAAACATGGTTATTATTGGCAAAAATGTCACGGTCAGATGAACCATAGGAAGTGCAACTAACTATTTCCAACAAAGGTTTTTGCAAACTTGAGCGTTAATAACCTTAGCGTCGTTTTCACTTTTTTATGCAACCTATACAACAAACTTAATTGATAATTATTTAAATCAAAACATTTTAATGTATTGCGTTGGAATAACTTGTCGGATTGAATCTTATTCTAATCATGTAACATTCAACATTTTCTTCTTCAGGTAATGCAGGCTCAAGTAGCAAACTTACCGGTTTGCATCTTCCTGAAGACAAGGAAACGAAACAAAAAATTCGCAATTTGGTGGTACGTCTCAAAGAGATTGCACGTTTAAGCCATTATTTAGTTTTTATGTACACAATAAAATCACTGTTCTTGTGCATCACCAATGTCGTTGTATTCGTTGTGCTTGCAAACTGGCTTCGCGAACGTCGATGGCGTGCGTCTTTTAATTGTGACTTTTCTGATCGTGTCCCTTACGATTATAAAGATCTGACATGCTCTCTACCTGCAGCACCATTTCTATACGGCTTGATGATATGTAATACAGTGCTCGCCTTCAGTATTTCTGTCTGCAATTTATTTGCGTTAATTTGGACGTGGAAATTTTTTATGTACACTTACGTTCATTACAAAAACGCTTTCAAAAAGTGGACTGATTTGGTCGATGAAAACGGTTTTATGGATTTTTGTTTCTGTTTAAGTCTGGCGACTACCTCTTACAAGGACGGTAAGATTTTGGGCGATGTTATCTACTCGAGTATGAAGATTTATTACCAGTCAAATCGCCACGAATGGCAGATCGGTCAGTCGGAAAATTCGAAAAAGAAAGCGAAATTTGCAGCAATGTTTTATCAAGGGGATGCGATTACTAAGGAACTCGGGTTGACGCTTTTTGAAGGAGATTATACCGACGATTCTCTTTTTCAAGCAATGGCGGCGATTCTTGATGTCGAGAGAGAAGACTTTAGAGATAAAATTTCAAAACAATTGAAAAGGGACATGCATTTGTACAAGGACATTGTTGATAACGCTTTTAGTAATTTAGAGTTCGAAAGATTCGTTAAACTGATAGAAAATGGTAAACGATTGCCCTACGAGTTTCATCAACTTATTTTGATGGCTGCTTGTAACTCGTTTGGCGTGAATATTTTGTTGTTGACCTGCGGTCAGAGCTGCTGGTATTATAAAACGGCGAATGAAGAAGAAAGTGCTTCCGTTGATGAAGAAATACTCACAAAATATTTGTTCGTTTGCCACCCGAATTATTATTCAGCCATCCTTCCAGCGCCAAATTACGATGAAAAGAAAGAGAAAAGGCGTTTGTTTCTGAACAATGAAAAATCTCGTAAAGAAGCTCGAACCAACGCTCTAGATAACTGGAATGAATTCGGCGATGAGAATTACCTTAAGATGATAAAAGATATATCACCCAGAACCATCGCTTACGGAAAGATGACAATACCAACTAAGAAGCGATCACATAATATTTTGACTGATCTGTTTCATGAAACAAGTCATAAGATCGTCACACATCTTCGAAGGAGAATAACTATTCCTCCCTTGACTATTCCTATGGAAGATTGAGTGTGACTGTGTTATTTCTTTTCCATCTTCGAGATTACGTGCTCTGTGTATTACTAACTACGATTATTAGAAAGAACACTTCTATAGAAGTTAGATTGAAAGTGTGTAAAAAAAAATTCAAATGGTATAAATTAGTATAAAGACAAATTAAATTTCTGCAATGATAGTTATATTTGTAGTTGCAGCGTCTAAAAGTTTCAAGCTCTTTTCGTTACTGGGTACGACAGGGTACGTCTGTAGTCCATATTTACCCAGAGCCCCACATAGGAAAGAGTTAGGACACTCAGTGGGGACACCGGAAGTAAAATTGCCAAGCGTCCGCCATTTACGTTACAAAAGCCAGCAATAATAAGAGCATTAATCGGTGGAAAGGCAATTTTTCTGTTGTATTTTCTTATCCATGAATAGACAGCGATCACTAGCTTTGAAATTCAGTTGCTTGTAGATGTCATCATAAACGAAATGCATTTATTTAACGAAGTGGATGCAATTTATACTGTTTTTGCCACGAGGAGAGCGCGCGTAGGTTTCTTCATCGCTTTCGTTAGCACTATTATAAAGCAACGTAAAATCATTGTAAACATTTTTTTCATAATTAATCGCCTTAGTAAAAAATGGTTATAATTTGCGTTTCTGAAACAAAATTGGCGGCAAAATACCCATGTGACCTTTTTTACCCAAACACATTGATTATGAAGAAAAATGTTGAAAAAATTACATGTCCTAACAGTTACAAATACAGGGCTCTGTATTTAACTATTCCGTTTGTCGTATGAATGTTTTATGCAGTGCTGTGTTTGAAATTAAATGAAGATATGATCTTCGCACTTTGCTGGACAATTTAAGCAATCGTCTCAGGAACCTAAAAAATCAGGTGACTCAACGGGATTCGAACGCATGACCTCTGCGGTGCCGGTGCAGAGCTCTGACCAACTGAGCTATGAAGTCACACAGTGGTGAGCAGGTCAATATTGCTGGGCTCATGTTTTCTCGTGAAGGAATGTCGTATGAATGTTATATATGCAAAGCGGTGTTTGAAATTAAATGAAGATATGATCTTCGCACTTTGCTGGACAATTTAAGCAATCGTCTCAGGAACCTGAAAAAATCAGGTGACTCAACGGGATTCGAACCCATGACCTCTGCGGTGCCGGTGCAGATCTCTGACCAACTGAGCTATGAAGTCACACAGTGGTGAGCAGGTCAATATTGCTGCGCTCATGTTTTCTCGTGAAAGGAATGTCGTATGAATGTTTTAAGCAGTGCGGTGTTTGAAATTAAATGAAGATATGATCTTCGCACTTTGCTGGACAATTTAAGCAATCGTCTCAGGAACCTGAAAAAATCAGGTGACTCAACGGGATTCGAACGCATGACCTCTGCGGTGCCGGTGCAGAGCTCTGACCAACTGAGCTATGAACTCACACAGTGGTGAGCAGGTCAATATTGCTGGGCTGATGTTTCCTCGTGAAGGAATGTCGTATGAATGTTTTATGCAGTGCGGTGTTTGAAATTAAATGAAGATATGATCTTCGCACTTTGCTGGACAATTTAAGCAATCGTCTCAGGAACCTGAAAAAATCAGGTGACTCAACGGGATTCGAACCCATGACCTCTGCGGTGCCGGTGCAGATCTCTGACCAACTGAGCTATGAAGTCACACAGTGGTGAGCAGGTCAATATTGCTGCGCTCATGTTTTCTCGTGAAAGGAATGTCGTATGAATGTTTTATGCAGTGCGGTGTTTGAAATTAAATGAAGATATGATCTTCGCACTTTGCTGGACAATTTAAGCAATCGTCTCAGGAACCTGAAAAAATCAGGTGACTCAACGGGATTCGAACGCATGACCTCTGCGGTGCCGGTGCAGAGCTCTGACCAACTGAGCTATGAAGTCACACAGTGGTGAGCAGGTCAATATTGCTGGGCTCATGTTTTCTCGTGAAAGGAATGTCGTATGAATGTTTTATGCAGTGCGGTGTTTGAAATTAAATGAAGATATGATCTTCGCACTTTGCTGGACAATTTAAGCAATCGTCTCAGGAACCTGAAAAAATCAGGTGACTCAACGGAATTCGAACCCATGACCTCTGCGGTGCCGGTGCAGAGCTCTGAAACACAGAGCTCTGCACCGCACTGCATAAAACATTCATACGACATTCCTTTCACGAGAAAACATGAGCCCAGCAATATTGACCTGCTCACCACTGTGTGACTTCATAGCTCAGTTGGTCAGAGCTCTGCACCGGCACCGCAGAGGTCATGCGTTCGAATCCCGTTGAGTCACCTGATTTTTTCAGGTTCCTGAGACGATTGCTTAAATTGTCCAGCAAAGTGCGAAGATCATATCTTCATTTAATTATTCCGTTTGTGTCAGATCTCTGGTTCAATAAGTAAATCATGACTCAAGTCGTCGCCTTATTTTATGTTATCGTAAATTAACTTAAGGAAATTATACCGGGACATGTACCCCCACTTTTTTCCACAAGCAAGCACCCTAGTGGGTGAAATTAAGCGCCCCACCTGGCAGCTGTAGAGTGCTTTTCTGCAGGCTACGTGACTTATAGCCAAATCATAATTAATGTAGTACTTGAGAATTCCTATAGAATCGCATAAGAGTTCACAAATATTGTACGAAATATTTTAATGTTGCTCGGAATAGTTTTCTTTGGATTTAGGTCTGATGTGTCAAAAATTAAAATATGTTAATTGTTAAAGCGTCGCATGTTTGGAAAATCTTATCAAATATCCATTACATGGCGGCGAGTTGTCGTTCTAGTTACAATGATTGACCCTGTGATGGACTACCGCCATTGAATCAAACATTCACGGGAAGGTCACCACTGTTAGAAGATAAATTCTCTCAAGTACTGTATCTAAATCTGTTGCGTTTATAAACGTCTTTTTTGTCGTGCATGGAAAGATTCGAGCTTCGAATGGCTAGAGTTGCGCTCTTCATGTTTTGGCGTGAAGTAATCTTCGAGATATATTTTGTCTTCCATCCATTCCTGGGTTATGAACGATACCGGAGGGTCGTTGCATTTGTTTCCAGCTTCAAAATTAGTTTACGCTTATATCAGTCTTAATTCGAAATTAGTTATACTTGCACCCTCAACTTGATTAATAAAATCGAGAGAGAAATGGTTGGAGTGTTCATGGGCTTCGAAATTAATTCTTTCATCTTTGCTTTGAAATTACCCAGGTATGAAATCAATAATTTCTTTTGCGTTGTTTCATACTTTAACCTTTTACTTTCAACGGGTTTTTTTTTAGGAGGGTAGAAGCCGTAAAAAAATAGTCAACGTCTTTGTATAAAAGAGATCTTGCACTTCAACATTTTTCTCAACCCAGCTAAACATATACATTTGAAAAACCAGTGCCACGGTAATTGCTTCATAATTTTACTATCATATACTATGCTATATACAATATGTATTATAAATACGCGTCTACATATATAGTTTACCAACATGGTCCCTCGTTAATTAAATTCATTTCAGCTCTTGTCATAATAAAATTGATCATAAAGATTCTAGTGATTTGAAGTAAGGAGGAAAATATTTACAAATGTTATTGCAATTCAAATATGGTTGACTCAATAGTTATGATACACATTGTGAACCATTTCTACAAACAACTTGGGATCATTTATATGCACTGGTGTGACGTCCGGTTTTCAATCAATGACATTTTCTACTTTCATGGGTGACTTCAGCAGCATCGAATGGATTTACAAAATTACCAATAGAATATTTAACACGGTCATACCAAGTAATGTCGTAAAAATTCAATATTAAAATTGAATTGTTTTTAACTTGAATCGTCAATTTCAATACGACAATCTTGTACATGTTTTGTTTTCATCTCCGCACTGCTGCTTGAAAGAAAAATATATAAAGCAATCAGACGACCACTTTAAAATCACTCGCTGGAATATTAATTTTAGGGAAAATTAAATTCCTGAAGAACATTTGCAATATATCAGATAAGTCGAAAATTTATCTTTATGGATTTTTTTGGGCCAAAAAGTAGGCGACTTCGTGCCGGAAGTGACGTGGAAAAGGAGAAAACGTAGTTTTACTTTTAAAGGTTTTCTTTGAAAATTCGTTAACGGGATATCATCAAACAATACACCTTAGCAACATTTTACATTTTTAGTGCGAGTTTTGTAGAAAATTTGCTAAAACAGCTTTTTCTGTATACTAAGAGCTGTATCGTTAATGATGTGTTCTAATTTTTGGCCCCAAAAGACCATATGGTAAATTTTCGTTGAATCGAGTTTATTATTAAAGTGTATTTAACTATCTAAAGAAGTTATTTCCCTGACCCTGACATATGCACATTAAATAGCTAAGACATGAAAAATTGTAAGGAGACTATGTCAAAATAAAGGTAACAAAACAGACATCCAGATGTATAGATAAGACCACGTTTAAAATTTGGATTTTCTTGTATTGTCGCGAGATTACCCAAATCACTCGTTACTTACACGAAGTTTAACCAACGAAAATCTTTCTTGGATCGTTTCAAAGGTGAGTGCCACTAATGGCACGTATAACGAAACATGATTTGCTTACATAATACATTGCCACAGGTGAGATTGCATTACAGTTGATTTTGTTGTGGCATTTGACAACTACGTATTATGGTACGCAAATATAACCAAGCACTGTTCTCAAGTAGCTCGAGTGAACGCCTGACCTGCATCTTGTCGATCTAGCTAAGTTTGACAACTCACCTTCTTTCACATTGAACAGTTATCTCTTGAGCAGCGACTTTGTTCAACTTAAGAATAAAAGAAAACAAGTTCAGTTAGTCATTTGTGATATACAAAATATGCGGGCTACTCTTCATAAAAAAAGATCAATGTGATGTGATATTCCTTCAATAATAACATATTTTTTGATGGAGTAAAGTACGACGCTTTGTTTCACTTTTAAAAAATAAAAAATTCCGTGTTTCTATAGAGTTATATAAAAACGCGGGTAAGTTTGGGAAAAACTAGAATTTGCGTGGCTAGCACGAGCACAAAGTGTGAATGTTTCCAAGAAATTTCGAGTTTCTCCCAAACTTTTACAAAGGTTTATATAACTCAACACGAATTATGTTTTCGAATTCGTTTATAGCCATTTGATAACAATGAAAGATAAATTTATCGATTTTAATGACATATTGTTAATATTGTTTAGATTTTTGCCTTTTACATCTACCACGCAAACCACGCAACATGTGTTTCTAAAAGGCTATTTTATAAATTAAAAACAATGAAAGATAGCTATGTTCGCATTAGCCTGTGCAAACCGATCTGACCTTAGCCAATCAAATTAATTAATGAATAAATGAGAATTTGCAAATCAATCACAAAGGAGTTATTTGCCACGCGGCTAATGGTTTTATTGCTTCCGAGGGCAAAACGCACGCGTGAATCAAATTTCTTTTCCCGCTTTGCCGAGCCAACTCGGCACATTGCGATTACATGGGAATTTTCATCCCACCTAAGCGAGTAACTCGGCAACCAAGAACCGGGATCCCGGCAAGGCGGGAAAACTCGCTTGCCATGTAATCAACTGTCAAAACAATATATAATAATTATTCAAAGGGAGTCAACTCGGCAAAGCGGGTCAACTCGCCTATGTAATCGGCACCTAAGTTACACCAAGACACAAGGTCATTGTCATCAAACTAGCCGAAGGGTAGACATCTCAAAGTTAGACATAAAGTTAGATCACCCACCCCTCCACCCTTCACACGTCATGGAACATTAAAATTGTCTCAAGAACAGTTGTAGGACTTATCAATGACATGCAATTGGAGTGGGCGTTTTATCCCGCACGTTTTCTGTGAAAATAATTAATTAGCAATTTATTTCCCAAACTATGAGTGGTTTGTTGTTCATACGCAAAGAAAACAGAGCTCAACATGATTTGTGGATCGACGGAGTAATGGACCGACTTTAATTTGTTGTTAATGGCAAAGGAAGCGATAAATAACGTAATTTAAAAAGAACAATTGAAACCTTTGTGTTAAATTTGTCTGTTTCGCATTATTGTTGTTTATAAAAGTAATAGATGTTTACAGTGTTTTAATTTGCTAATGCAAACCTCGAAGACGTTCGTGAGAACTCTTGAGCAGGTGGAACCCTCGAAATTCGGTCTCGGGCTTGCACTGATCTGCATTGAAGTTCTCCCAAAAAGACTTCTCGGTTTGCATACCTGTGCAAACACAGTAAACATCTTTTATTTCTTACATCAAACTTAGAATTGGATTCATACTCTTTTCTAATACTGACAAACCTTGTATGACTTTAGCTTTTTTGGCGAAGTCATCGATATTGATGGATTAGACTCTGCAGCTTCAGCGACAGTTTGACGACTTTGAACAATAAAATCATACGTGGACATACCTTTACTAACTATAACACAAATGAAAAATAAAATTTTAGAAGAGAAACATCAAAAAAGATTTTTATTAACTTCCAGAAACATGCGTCTAAAACAACAATCCCATTGATATCCAATATAACCATCGGGGCAAGAAATAACAAAGGAAATAAGCGTTTTCTTTCTTTTTCCATCTTCGCATGCAAGTAAAATAATGAAGCATATGCCAACTAAAGGAAATTTTACAAACTAAAATATTTAACTTACTTAAAACTATATGAAAACACATTAAGTGACCGAGCAGAAGAAATGCGACGAAGAGTAAAACGATGATTACTATATCGACAGCCAGAAAGGTTTTGTCGTTCATCTCGCGAACGATACTCCACCCTGAAAAGAAAAAAGTTTCCATCGTCATCCCCACGTCAGACTTCATGGACGTTGAATATCAAATGTGTAACAAAGTTAGAACGTAAAACCAGTCATATAGACAAGTACATCTGTCTTTCACCAGCCTGTCTCTATCGATAAAATATACGATACAAAGATAAAGACAGAACGCCATAATGAATACCACTGAAGCGAGGGCCGAAGATACACAACCGAGAAACATTCTACAAAACAAAAGATAACTACCTTCATTAACAATATCAACTGTTACATGTTTGTAGATGTAAATTGTTGGACTGTTGTTGTTGATGTTGTTGTTGAGCAAAAGTCCTTCTCAGGACTATACCAACCTGGACAATCTACACCTACAAACATGTAACAATACTCCCGCGTTCGAACCATTTACTTTATTATCAACAGTCATACCAATCAAGTTCGTATATCTAAACGAACTGAACTAGCCTTAAAGTGCCTTTATATCAGGGTCAGGGAAATAACTTCTTGACCTAGGTATTAAATCGAAATTAAGAACACTTGCAGTATATTTCATAAGACAAAAATTTTATCTCTAATGGGTTTTGTGGCCTAGAAGTGGGTGACTCTGAACAGGATGTGACGTAAAAAGGAGAACACATGCGTACAAGATATACCTTTCATTATACTAAATAAAGCTGTTACGGCAAATCTTAAAAAAATAGGAACACAGTGTGTACAAGTGGGTAGCCTTGACCAGAGTTACAGAACACGGAACAAACTGTAGTCAGTAGTCCCACTACTTGGTGCTGTATTTTTCATTAAATAGATTACTGGCTGTAGCTAGTCATCTTAACATTCATCTTGGTAACGCATTTTACTTCTCTGCACCAAGTTAATCGCATGGACAATAAGATATTTGCCACTTTAAATTTTCATTAGAGTGAGACTATTGTTTCTTTCTTTACTGTGGCCTTGAGTTTAAATTATAAAGTACAAAAACTTTATAAACACATCTATAGTGAAGTCCCAAGGTCATTCCCTTTCGTAATAACAACATATGAAAAATAACAATAATAATTTCTTCTCAAAATGCCACATTATGAAATCATTCCTTACTTTGGCGCTTCTCTTTCGTACAAAACATTCGCTGTGCACAATGTTTGATCAAAATGTCCTGTAATTATCTTACCTTTTTTATTGCTCTCTATACGCTCAGTGCATGTTATGTGTGTTTGAGTTCACGTGCTTATATCGTGCAAAGGAAGCTTCAAAAAACATTACAGCAGCGATGTCTTCATAAAAGTTCGTAAATTTTAAAGATAGTACGATAAGTTCTTCGCCATTTTGAATTAAAACGATTTTTGTAAAATATAATATCTTATTTGTCTAACAATCGTGTAGTAAATAGATACATCGTTCTTTTAACAGGATATATGAAACCGGTTTGTTGTGTTGTATGAATATTTACTTATTAACATTTTGATAGGACTATATTGCCGATGATTCTGTTCCAATTTTAATTTTTTTGTTTATTGTTTAAATGCCGAGGCATTGCACATGGTAAATATATCAATGCTAATGTAGTTATTTTCCACAGGGCCATAGCTTGACACTTATTACTCGCGCTCAGGAGGGGCACAAGTAGAGGCTTCGGCTTGTGGTGTCGAGAAATCGACTTTGTTGGCCCAGAATGCATTGGCTTTCACAACATTGCGACTGCAAGGAGTGCAAAATATAATTCTTCGACAATACAAATATAGAAGCCATCCTTTAACAAACAATAAAAAGGTTGGAAATATTTACGCAAAAAAAGACAAAGCTACGCTACAACATATTGCATGGTGCGACATATACTTTTAAATTCCTGATTTATCGATATTTTGACTTTGTTGTTTACAAATTTTTACAGCTTCCTTTGAATGAGAGATTTTAGCACTGTAATTTGGCATTTGGAAGGATTTAGCTTTCATGCTTTTGCTAACAATACTTGCAACAATGCCTCTTATTGATATTTAATAAAAGTAGTTTCTCAAATGTTTGATCACTGATTAGATGGCCGATAGCCCGATCCAAACACTTGGCAATGTTGCTCGAATCAAGAAACTCTAGAAATCAATCGCCATCGGCTCATGTTTTCCGACATTCTTTCATTTTTTGATCCGATCGTCAAAACTGAAATTGTTTGATCACAAGAACACGAGTGTACGCCTGAGCAGGCGTCTTGTCATATATTTAAATTCCTTATTTTTGACGTTCTGTTAAATCCAAATTGTCATCATTACTAATTGAAATAAATCTAAAAACTATATCATATCTGCTTTACATTTTCCTTACCAAAACACAGAGCCTCGGAAATACCATTTCAGGGTTTTAGAGCAATACAAAATGTATTTTGTAGGCATCGTTTTTGCGTAAAAACAACACATTTGGCTTACGTTTTTTTCAAAAAAAAACAACTGAAGTGAACAATACTTGAATGTTTTGCCAAATATTTAGGCTCATTATCATGCCAAATATATGGCTCATTAGCATGTCTAGAAACATAAAATTTATTTTACAATAATGCTATTCCAAAAAAGATATTGTCTTTAAAAATTTCTACCAAGTTGTCAGGCATAGACTCCCCAAGAGACCCCCATTCAAACCTCTATGTAATGAGTTAAGTTAGAAATTTGGTACTACAAGGGACAGTTCATAGATATAGAAAAGCTCAGACTTCAAACCATGCAAGTTTATTGTAACCCTTTACCCATGTCCACATACAGAGCCAGCAAATTCACCTTTTGAGAAAAAACTCAAAATTTTTTCAATTTAAATTATTTTATTTCAATTTAAATTATTTAATATATTTTCACTCAAAATTATTAGAGTAAAAATTTGCAATTAAGGACAGCTTAATGCCCTTAATGTTTATTAGGCTATTAGACTATTATCTTCTGTAAGCATATGCAAGGTGTGCTATATAGCAATCACCAGTAGCATTTATTTGCCAATACAAACAGAATGTAACCAACATACCTTTAATTATATAATTACATGAATGTTAAAATTGGTTCATGTGTCATGCTTACTAGTTATGGTAAATATCTTTTCATATGATCAAAGCTCGTTTAAATGTAAATCTGAAATAATTTAGTTTAGAAATTATAATGATCATCAGAAAAATTACCTAGTGATCATGAAAAATACTTTGCTGTTTTGCCAAATTTTAAGGTTTATCTGCATACATAGGAAGACATTTTTACCTTATAGAAAATGCTTTTCATACATCAATAGCCCTTTGGAATTTATGGCAAACAATCTGGTATGAGCCGTAGATCAACACACACCTTGACATCTCTACATGAGGTGTTCAGTTAGAAAAGGGGACAATATGTGACCAGGGACAACATTTCATGTATGTGAAATACTCAGGTTTAATACCATTCCAGTCAAATTGTCAAAATAAAAAGCTTCATGGATCAGAAAAGACTTAAAAGCACATGTTATAGTAAACAGCTTCTCATGTAATCAATGTTAGTTTTCTCAAATCTTAAACAATATGTAGTATAACTGTCCAATGATTGAATGATCAATGATTGGGGCTTTTCAAATGTTTGGTATTTGAAATTTTGCGAATTTTTTTGGCTGTTTCGAAAGACCTTGTCGTTTTGAGCCATTAGCAAAAACCAGAATTCAATTACGAAACATACAACTTATTTTATAACGTCTCAAACATAGAATTTTTACTCCATTTTAAAAATATACCAAGGGAAAGATGGTACCGGGTTGTGACGTATGCAGTGTGACTTATCGGAGAGTGCTTATACAAAATACAAAAACATTAGAATAAAATAGGTACGCCATTTCGTACATGCGTCTACGTTTTTTATGACATTTTGAACTATTTATGTCACAGGTAATGTGAACCAATTACTGAATATCGTTGAATAGAATTATTCAGGTAGAGCTGGTGGTCACTGAAAATACATTCTTGTGTACTGTTTTTGAGAAGCATGCTGTCAGTAACACTTGCATTGCAGATATCTCTAGATACTTGATCTTCACTCTATTTATAATCAATATCATTTTTGTTTCTTTGAATGGTATTTGGTTTGGCATTTATTTTTTGTGATGCAGTTCAGCCGTTGCTTATTTATGTTTTTGGACAGCTATACTATCTGAGTCACCTAACTGGTATTCATCAAATATTCAACATTCGGAAGACATCTAACGCTGGCCATTTTGACAGTGATTTTTCTTGCCTTCCTCCTGGGTTACAAATTACCATAATTGACAGATCGATCTGTTTTTGTGTGGTAACTTCGATTTGCTTTTAAGTAAGTTCGATATATGCGGGCTTGTTTCAATTGCTTCTTGGAAGCGTTCGATTTAATTCACGACCGTTCGATTTAAATGTATGACATTGGTAGTTTTGTCCTTATTGGACGCCCATACCTTGGCAACGATAGGGGCAAATTCGATTGTTGCACGAGCAATTTTTAAACGAACACGAACGCCGATATTTTACAAGTATCGTAATAAATTTGATGTCAATTTGATTTACATAACTTGTTTTATCCATAACAGATATTTGAGATAAGTAGAAAGTCGCGAAAGGCCGCCTTAAATATTCAAAAATCTTTGTTTGTAAACGTTATCCGCTATACAATTCGATAGTAATTTGTATCTCTAGAGGGTAACCAGAAGTGCATTTTGCATATAAAATTATGCTTCACTTTTGTTACTGATAGAAGCTGTATCCAGTCTATTATCAGATCAGTGGTTAACGGTGATTAATTTTGTGTTGAGAATTGTCTACCTTGTTAAATCATAAAAACCTATAAAACCATACATAAGTGTAACTCACGCTAGACAGTGCGCCTGACAAACATTGCATATACATCAAGGAATATATTTACTACATAAATCGATGGCAAAAAAACAAACAGATATCTGGGCCGCCTAAGATATAGTACGAAAAGTGAAGCCGGAAGTTGGCTCATTTGCTTACGACCTTCGTGGGGGGTATCCGTCCCACTTTACTATACTTTTGTATTACAAAATCACAGTTTTTGCGTTTTTATTCGTTCTACAGAACGACTGGCAAAGATATTTAATACTAAAAAGTTCGTCTTCTTGGCTTGACAATGCCAGAAAATTGAGATTGTACAAGATTGACCGGTATTGTTTATTACAGAATCCTAAGACTGCCACCAAAATTTCATCTACAATGACGTTATTGGAATTTCATAGGCCCTTTCATAAT